ACCCGCGGGAGGAACTCAGGGGTCGCAGGTGCAGGCGTGGGAGGGACAGGCAGGGCCAAGGGGAAGGGGGAGTTTAGGGGGTCTGGGATGGTGAGCCTGACCCCGTGGGGTTTTTGGGGTGCCCCCTAAGCCCTGTTCTTGTGCCCCCCCACCCCGCAGGTTGTGATCTTCGTGAAGTCGGTGCAGCGCTGCATCGCCCTGGCCCAGCTGCTGGTGGAGCAGAACTTCCCTGCCATCGCCATCCACCGCGGCATGCCCCAGGAGGAGAGGTGGGGGAGCCCCCAAAACAGCCCTCTGGGACCCCCAAAACACCCTCCTGAACCCCCAACCTCCCCCTGAGCCCCCAAAACCCCTCAGAGCCCCCAAACCCCCCCAGCAGAACTTCCCTGCCATCACCATCCACCGTGGCATGCCCCAGGAGGAGAGGTGAGGGGACCCCAAAATGACTCTCTGGGACCCCAAAACACCTCCTGAACCCCCAACCTCCCCTGAGCCCCAAAGCCCCCAGCAGAACTTCCTGCCATCACCATCCACCGCAGCATGCCCCAGGCGGAGAGGTGGGGGACCCAAAACGACCCTCTGGGACCCCCAGACACCTGAACCACTCCCAGATGACCCCCCGGGCCTGGGGAGCCCCCTGACCCCCACCCCGCTGCCCCCAGGCTGTCCCGGTACCAGCAGTTCAAGGACTTCCAGCGCCGCATCCTGGTGGCCACCAACCTGTTTGGGCGGGGCATGGACATCGAGCGCGTCAACATCGCCTTCAACTACGACATGCCCGAGGACTCGGACACCTACCTGCACAGGGTGGGGGCTGGGGACCCCCGGGGCTGGGGGGGCTCGGGGAGGGGCCTGGGGGTGGGGAATGGGGTGAGAGAGGAGGGAAATGGGGTTGGGGGGGCTGGGGAGGGTCTGGGAGGAGATGTGGGCTCTGGAGTTTGGAGGGCTGTGGGGTCCTGTGAGTGCTGGGGGCTCTGGGGACCTGTGAGTGCTGGGGGCTCTGGGGGCTCTGGGAGTCCTGTGAGTACTGGGGGCTCTGGGGGCTCTGGGGTCCTGTGAGTGCTGGGGGGCTCTGGGGGTCCTGTGAGTGCTGGGGGCTCTGGGGATCTGTGAGTGCTGGGGGCTCTGGGGTCACTGGGGGGCTCTGGGGGTCACTGGGGGGGTTCTGGATCCCAGGGAAGGGGGAGAACGGGGTGGGGCTGTGGGCACAGGGAGTGTCTGGGGGCTCTTTGGGGTCCTGTCCCCTCACACAGGGTGATTTTGGGGGGGTCCCCGAGTGCCAGGGGGAGGTTTTGGGGTGCTCCTGACCCCCCTGTGCCCCTGCAGGTGGCCCGGGCGGGGCGTTTCGGCACCAAGGGCTTGGCCATCACCTTCGTGTCGGACGAGAACGACGCCAAGATCCTCAACGACGTCCAGGACCGGTTCGAGGTGAACATCAGCGAGCTGCCCGACGAGATCGACATCTCCTCCTACAGTGAGACACTTGGGGGGGCTCTGGGGGGGTTTGGGAGGCTTTGGGGTGAACATCAGCGAGCTGCCCGACGAGATCGACATCTCCTCCTACAGTGAGACAATTTGGGGGGTCCTGGGGGTTGGGGTCCTGGGGAAGGGTTTGGGGTGAACATCAGCGAGCTGCCCGACGAGATCGACATCTCCTCCTACAGTGAGACTCTGGGGGCTCTGGGGGTTTGGGGGCTTTGGGGTGAACATCAGCAAGCTGCCCAACGAGATCGACATCTCCTCCTACAGTGAGACATTTTGGGGGGTCCTGGGGGGGTTTGGGGGTCCTGGGGAAGGGTTTGGGGTGAACATCAGCGAGCTGCCCGACGAGATTGACATCTCCTCCTACAGTGAGACATTTTGGGGGGAGGTTTGGGGAGGTTTGGAGGTCCCGAGGGGTGTTTGGAGGGCGTTTTGGGGGGTGGCAGCTCCCCCTGCTCTGTGGGTGATCCGTGTGTGCTGGGGGGTCTGGGGGCTCTGGGGGCTCCCGGTGCCCCCCCTGACCCCCCTTTCCTCCCTGTGTCTCTCCCCCCACAGTCGAACAGACCCGATAAGGGCCCCCCAGGCCCGCCGCCGCCAGGACCCCGGGAACCCCTCCCAGCTCCACTCCGAACCCCCCCCCTCAAAACACCCCGGGGGTTTTGTAGAAAAAAAGCCTGAAAAGACAAAAAAAACCCCAAGAAGAAGAAACCCCCAAAAACGTGAAGTTTCCCCCGTGCAGCAGCTGGGGGGAGGGGCCTGGGGACCCTCCCACCCCCAGGACCCCAGAACCCCCGGGGACCCCCGACCCCGGGCTGTAAAATTTCTGTTTTTTTGGTAATAAAGTTGCCGAAACGGCCTCAAATGCGTGGGGGCGGTGTCTGCGGGGGGCGTGGCCCGTGCGAGCCAATGGGGGCTCCGCGTGTGGGAAAGGAGGCGTGGTTTGTTCGGGAGGGCGTGGCCGACGATTTTCCCGCCGCTGAACGGCCCTGCCCTCCTGAGGGGGTGGGCGGAGCTGGGGTGGGCGGGGCCAGGCGGCCCGGCTATAAAAGGGGCCGCGGGAGGGGCCGCAGCCTTTTCTCGGCGGGATCGGGTGAGAAAAGACAGGGTTGTCTTTTGGGGGGCGATTTTGGGGGCATTTATGAGGTGGCCTGGGTGGCATCGGGGCCCGCGGGAGGGCTCAGGAGGTTCTGCGGGCCTGGCGTGTCCCTGGGGAGGTTTTTGGGGGTTCAGTGGGCCTGGGATGTCCTTGGGGGAGGGATTTTGGGGAGCGATGGGGACTCATGGGATGGGTTTGGGGAGACCTTTGAGGGGAATGGGAGGTCTCGGTGTCTGGGGGGAATAGAGGTCTGTTTGGGAGAGGCTGAGGGAGGTGATTGGGGATGAGCTTGGAAGAATTGGGGTTCGCGACCCCCTTTTTGGGGGGTCTTTCCCACCCCGGGGGGCTGTCGCGGTGATGACGCCAAAGACTAGAGTCTCCGAGCCCCCCTGAGGACGACACCGGCCTGAGCGACGCCCACCCCCCAAAAAACCCCCCTTGTCACCCTGAACCTCGCGGACCCCCCTTTCTCACCTTCAATATCCCCCCCTCTGCGTGTTGCAGGTCGCGGGCGCCGCCGGGACCGCGATGTCCCCAGGTAAGACCCCCCATCCTCCGTGCCCTCTCCCCAGTGTCCCCCCCCGTGTTCCCCCGTTCCCGGCGGCGGCGGCGATGAGGAACCGGCTCAAAGCGTCTGACCCGCCGTGAGGACACACTCGCAGCGCCCTGAGCCGCCGCCGACCCCCGGAACCCCGGACCCCCTCAAGTGTCCCCAATCCCCCGGAGACCCGGACCCCCAAGTGTCCCCCAATCCCCCCCTCCACCCCATGGGATTCCTCCAGGCCCCCTATACTGCTCCTGGGGACTCCCCTAATCCTCCCAGAGCCTTGGGGACCCCTCGGGACCACCCTGAGACCCCCGATCCTCCCCCATCTCCTGCCCCCAGACCCTCCTGTACTGCCCGTGCCGACCCCCCCCACTCGAACAGCGTTTCTCTTTTCCAGCCCCCCTTCCGAGGAAGCCTCGGCACCGACGACGACGACGCCGGAGTGGGCAGGAGGGAGGAGGGATTTGGGTGAAATAAAAACATATTTGAGTAAAATAAATGCGTTTTGGGGGTAAAATAAAGATAATTTTGGGACCTGGACGGCGCCTGTTTGTTCCTCCGGACCGGCAGGGGGCGCTGTCACTCGGAGAGAATGGGGCGAGGCGCCGCTGTCACGTGACCTGCCGCCATCTTGAGGAGGGCGCGGCGCGGGCGCCATTTTGAGTGAGTCGGGGGGTCCGGAGGTCCCTCAGGGGGGAGGGGGGAGCACAACGGGACCCTCCCCCAACCCCCCGCGGGGTCCCCCGGCCGAACTCGCCCCCTCCCCGTCGCGGCCCCTCCCCCCGGGAAGGCTCCGAGCGGCCCCACCCCGGCCCGGGCGGACTCGGCGGCCGGAGTGACCCGGGACCCCCGTGAGGGGTGAGGGGAGAACCCCCCTCCCCATCGCCCCCAACTCTCCGATCGCTTCCCCCGGGCCCCCCGAGGTGAGACCCCCGCGGTGGGGAAGGGTTGGGGTCCCTTTGGGGGGTGCGGGGGTCACTGTGTCCCGTCTGAGTGTTAGGGGGATCAGTGAATTTAGGGGTGGGGGGTGGGCTCTTCTCCCCCTTTGTCCCCTCTGGGGGTCCCTGAAGGGGGGTGATCTTGTCCCCCTCTGAGTTTGGGGGGGTGTCCTCACGTAGGGCTGGGATCTTCACTCACAGTGTGAGTGCTGGGACATCTGGAGGGGAGTGGGGACCCCCAAACCCCCTCAAATACCCCCCCTCCCCAGCCCCATCCAGGGGGTGCTGGCACAGCTGGAGGGGAGTGGGGACCCCAAAACCCCTCAAATACCCCCCAACCCCATCCAGGGGTGCTGGCACAGCTAGAGGATAGCGGGCACCCCAAAAACCCCTCAAATACCTCCCCCACTCCCCCAACCCCATCCAGGGGGTGCTGGCACAGCTGGAGGTGAGTGGGGACCCCCAAAACCCCTCAAATACCCACCCCAACCCCAGCCCCATCCAGGGGGTGCTGGCACAGCTGGAGGGGAGTGGGGACCCCAAAACCCCTCAAATACCCCCCCCACAAACCCCATCCAGAGGGTGCTGGCACAGCTGGAGAGGGGAGTGGGGACCCCAAACCCCCACGCAGGGGGTCCCGCTGCAGCTCCAAGTGACCCCAAGGGACCCCCAACCCCCCCCGGGGCACTCCCAGCCCCCTCTTTCATCACTGCCCCCTCACCCCCTTTGTTTCTCCTGCAGCCCCTCCCCGCGATGTGCCCGTGGGCGCTGGACCCTCCGTGGGGCCGAGGCCCCCGGGCCCGGAGCCCCCGGAGGCGCTGGAGGTGTGCCTGGCGCTGGCCCGGCACGTGTTCGACCTGGCGGTGCGGGGGCGCTGGGAGCGGCGCGGGCGGCGCTGGGGGCGCTGGGGCTGCGGGGCCGGGGGCGCAGGGGGCCTGGCTGCAGGGCCTGGCGGCCTTCGCGCTGGCGGCCGCGGCGCTGCGGGCGCTGCTGCGGCACCTCCTGCCCCTGGCCGGGCTCTACGCGCTGCTGCAGGCGCTGGTGCTGCTCGCCAGCCTCAGAGACCCGCCCGGAGCCCCCCCGGCCGCACGGAGACCCCCCAGCAGCAGCAGCAGCAGCAGCAGGAGGAGGAGGAGCCGCTGACAGAATGGTGGGACCCCCCCACCGGGGGCAAGGACAAAGGGAGGGGGCCCCCTGAGGAGTAAGGGACAACCCCCCCCGCTTGGGGGTCCTGCTGGACCACCGGGACCTCCCCCCACATCCCTTGGACCACTGGGAGCAATAATGGACCACCGGGAACACTCCTGGACCCCCCTGCCCAGGGACTGCCGGGAACACTGAAAGATCACCAGGATGCACCCGGGGACCACCAGAAACCCCCCCGGATCCCCCTGCCCAGGGACTGTCAGAAACACTGAAAGACCACCAGAAACCCCCCGGGACCCCCCCCCCAGACCACCAGGAACACTAAAAGACCACCCTGAGCCACCCAGGGACCACCAGAACCCCCGCTGGACCCCCCAGACCACCAGGAACACTAAAAGATCACCAGGAACACTCCATGGACCACCAGGACACACCCGGGGACCCCCAGAAAGGCCCCTGGGAGCCCCCCGAAACACTAAAGACCCACCGAGACACCCCCAGGGGGAGGTCAAAGCCCCCCAAAAGCGCCCCCAACCCAGGACAGGCCCCGCCCACTGTGACCGCCAAAGCTCCGCCCCTGTTGACGTCACAGCACAGCCCGCTGCCACACGCACACGAAGCCACGCCCACTGCGATTGATTGATTGGCGCGCCCCGCCCCCTGTTCGCCGTTGGCTCCGCCCATCGCCGCCAGCCCCTCCCCTCCCCCCGCGCGTTTTTTTGGTGAATAAACGCGATTTTGGGACCCCGCGGTGCCGGTACCGGTTGTGGGGGGGTGAGGAGGGGGGTCCTGCCCTCACTAAAGATGGCGGCGCCCTCACAGGAGCGGCGGGGCGGGGCCCCCCGAGGGCCGCCATTGGCGGCGGGGCGGCCGTTCCGCCGCCGGTAACGATCCGCTGGGGCGGGCGGGGCCGTCCCGGGACGGTTCGGGGCGCCCCGCGGGGGCTGCGGGGGTGTCCGGGCCCGGATTCTCCTCGGTTTGGGGGGGTCGGTGCCGTTTCAGGCGCGCAGGGGCACCCCCGCGGGGGCCTCGCGCGGCGCAGGCGCAGAGCGGAGCAGCCGCCGGGCCGGAGCCGCCGCGGCCGCGTCGAGACCCCCGAGGTGGGACCGGGGGGGCTCTGAGGGGGCTCTGAGGGGTTGGGGGTGTTTGGGGCGCTGCGGGGGCGACCCCGCTGTAACAACACCCCCCCCAACCCGTCCTTCCTCCCTCAGGCCCGCCCGTCACCGCCGCCCCCTCCCCTCCCCCTCATCTCCCGGGGACCCCCGATCCGGGACCCCCGAACCGGGACCCCCATCGCGGCCCCGCCATGGCGGAGGAGCGGCCCGAGGTGCTGCAGGTGCTCGTGAAAACCCTGGACTCGCAGACGCGGAGCTTCGAGGTGGAGCCGGAGGTAAAAACACCCCAAAGAAACCCCCAAAAATCGGGGAGATCCCCACACACTGACACCTCCCCCGGCCCCGCAGATCTCGGTGCGGGAGTTCAAGCAGCGCATCGCGGGCTCCGTGAGCATCGCGGCCGAGAAGCAGCGGCTCATCTACCAGGGCCGCGTCCTGCAGGACGAGCGCCGGCTGCGCAGAATACAGTGAGGGATGGGGATCCGGGGGATCTGGGGGATCGGGGGGCTCGGGGGCTTGGAGGTCCCTGAGGGGAGATCAGGGGGCTGGGGTTTTTTAGGGTTGATTTGGGTACCTTTTTGGAGGTTGGTTGGGGTGATTTGGGTTTGGTTTATTTTTTTGGAGGGTGGTGGTGATTTGGGGTTTCTTTAGGGGTGATTTGGGGTTTTTTTGGGAGGGTGATTTGGGGTTTATTTTGGTGGGTAATTCGGGTGTTTTTGGGGGGTGATTTGGGGTTTATTTTGGTCGGTAATTTGGGTGGTTTTGGGGAGTGATTTGGGGTTTATTTTGGTGGGTAGTTTGAGTTTATTGGAGGGATGATTTGGGGTTTATTTTGGGGGGTGGTTTCACAGTTTGTTTTGGGGTGATTTGGGGCTTTTCTGGTTGGTAATTTGGGTTTTTTTGGGGGTTGATTTGGGGTTTATTTTGGTGGGTAATTTGGGGTTTTTTGGGGGGTGATTTGGGGTTTATTTTGGTGGGTAATCTGGGTTTATTTGGGGTTTATTTTGGGGGTGATTTCACAGTTTCTCTGGGGGTGATTTGGGTATTTTTTGGAGATCGTTTGGGATGTTTTTTTTGGGCTGATTTGGGTTTATTTGGGGGGTGATTCAAGATGTGTTTATGGGGCGATTTGGGGGTGATTTGGGGTCCTGACCCCCTCTTTTCCCCAGATGTGGGGGCAAGGTGATCCACCTGGTGGAACGAGGCCCCCCCCAGGCCCAATCCCCAACTCGGGGGTCCCTCGGGCCTGGGCACCTCCCCAGAACGGGGGGACTCGAGGGCCCCGACAGGAACAGCAACAGCTACGTCATGGTGGGGACCTTCAACCTGCCGGTGAGGGGGCTCAGGGGGCTTCGGGCTGGGTCTGGGGAGGGGCTGTGATTTGGGGGGTTCAGGGGTGATTTGGGGGGTAATTGCTACGTTTATTTTGGGGGGGAGTTCGGTGTGTTTGGGAGGTAATTTTAGGGTAGGATGAGTGATTTTGAGGATGATTTCAGGAGCAAGGGGTGGCTGATTTTGGAGGCTGTTTGAGGAGTGATTTTGTGGTTCATTTTTGGGAGGAAGTTCAGTGTTTTTGGGGGTAGTTTTAGAGTAGGATCAGTAATTTTGAGGATGATTTCAAAGGCAGGGGATGGTTGATTTTGGGGATTATTTGGGGGTAATTTGGGGGCTCATTTTGGGGGGGTTTCAGTAATTTTGGGGTGTAATTTGGCCCCCCCCTCCCCGCAGATCGACGGCTCCTCGGTCGACGTTCACATCAACATGGACCAGGGCCCTGCCCAGGTGGGTCTGGGGGGGCCAGGCTGTGCCCCCCCCTCGCTTTTTGGGGCCAGGGGGGTGTTGGGGGGCCCTGAGTGACCCCCCCGACCCCCCCAAATTCCAGAGCGAGCCCCGGATGAGGCTCTTGGTGGCCCAGCACATGCTGAGGGACATCCAGGGGGTGCTGGCACAGCTGGAGGTGAGCGGGACCTCAAATTCCCCCAAAAACCTCCCCAAAATACCCCTAAAATACCCCTGAACCCCACTCAGGGTGCTGGCACAGCTGGAGGTGAGGGACCCAATCCCCCAAAACCCCCCAAAACCTCCCAAAATCCCCCAAACCCCACCCAGGGGGTGCTGGCACAGCTGGAGGTGAGGGGACCCAACCCCCCGAACCTCCCCAAAGCCCCCCAGAATCTCCCCAAAATCCCCAAACCCTCCAGGGGCACTCCCAGCCCCCCTCAACTCTCCCCCATTTTTCCCCCCTCTCCAGGGCACGGGGGCTCCTCCCGCTCCCCCTCCCAGGCCGAGGGGCCCCCTGGCCCCCCGAGGCTCCCCCGGCCCCCCTGAGGAGCCGATGGAGGCGTCGGGGGTCCCGCAGAGCCCCGAGGCCCCCGAGCCGGGCCCTGAGCCCCCCGGGCCCCGAGGCCGCCAGGTGAGCGTTGCTGGGGGGCTGTGGGTGAGGGGCGGTGTGGGGGCTGCAGACCCACCCTGTGCCCCCTCCCCACAGCCCCCGTCGCCGGCAGAGCTGGGGAGGTGCTGGGGAGCTGCGGGCGCCTCGAGAGCCGCCTGGAGCCCTTCAGGAGCGCTACCGGGAGCTGCTGGGCACGGCTGGCACTGCTGACTACAACAATAATGTGAGGGGGGCTCAAAGGGGCTGGGGGTGCAATGGGTTTGGGGGCACACAGGGGGTCACTCAGGGGGCTGGGGAGGCACACAGGGGTCACTCAGGGGGCTGGGGATGGGCCTGGAGCCCTTCCGGGAGCGCTACCGGGAGCTGCTGGGCACGGCTGGCACTGCTGACTACAGCAACAACGTGAGGGGGATAAATGGGGCTGGGGGTGTCTGGGGGGTCACACAGGGGGCTGGGGATGGGCCTGGAGCCCTTCCGGGAGCGCTACCGGGAGCTGCTGGGCACGGCTGGCACTGCTGACTACAACAACAATGTGAGAGGGGGCTCAAGTGGGGCTGGGGGCACAGGAGGGGTTTGAGGGGTGACAAGGGGTTTGGGGGGTCCTGAGGGCTTTGGGGTTCTGGGATGGGTCTGGGGGTGGTCACAAGGGGCTTTGGGGGTCCTGAGGGCTTTGGGGTTCCTGGGATGGGTCTGGGGGGTCACAAGGGTTTGGGGGTCCTGGGGTTGTTGAGCAGATTGGAACCATCCAGTAGTGCTGGGATGTATTTTGGGATATTTTGAGGGGGGCTCCCAAGGAGTTTGGGGACATCCTGGCAGGGCCTTGAGGGGTCTGAGTGTGGGGAGGGTCACAGGTGAGTTTTGAGGGGTGGGGGGTCTGGGTGACCCCGAGGTGAAATTGGGGTGATTTCGGTGCCTTTTGGTGACCGGAAATGCCTTCCTGGGGAGGGTCGTTGTTTGGGGGTCCCAGCCCCTCCCTGACCCCCCCAGACAGAGGGTCAGTGATCATTGTTTGGTGGGGGTCTCAGCCCTCCCCTGACCCCCGTGTCCCCCAGACGGAGGGTCAGTGGTGGTGGTTGTTGTTTGGGGGTCCCAGCCCTCCCCTGACCCCCAGATGGAGGGTCGGTGATTGTTGTTGGGGGTCCCAGCCCTCCCTGACCCCCTGTGTCCCCCAGACGGAGGGTCAGTGGTTGTTGTTGTTGTTTGGGGGTCCCAGCCCCTCCCCTGACTCCCCGTGTCCCCCCAGACGGAGGGTCGAGAGGAGGCCCAGCGCCTGGTGAACCTGGTGGGGAGGGGCAGCGTCTCCTGGGCAATGCCCTGGTGGCCCTCTCGGAGCTCCGCTGCAATTTGGGGGCCCCCGCCCCCTCCACCTGGCCCGGCCCCTCCCCACTACGGGCCCCCATGCTGGTGCAGCAGGCGACCATCCCCATCCAGGTGAGGGGAGGGCTGAGCCTCACAGGGGGTCTTTTGGGGTGGGGGACCCTGAAATTCGGGGGAGAGGGACACACCTGATCCTCACATGGGGGTGTTTTGGGGTGGGGGACACCCCGAATCAGGGAAGTGGAGAGACCCCCATCTCAGGGTGTTTTAGGGTGGGGGACACCCCAGAAATAGGGAGGGAGGGGTTGGAGACACCCCCACATCAGGGAGCTGGAGGGACCCCCACATTGGGGGTGGGGGCACCCCAAAATAGGGGATGGGGGCTCCTTGATGTTGGGTTGTGGGAGTTTTGGGGTCCCCCAGGTTGGTGTTAAGGGGAGGGTTCCCAAAACAGGGAGGGGGTGGGGGTGGACCCTCATTTGGGGGTCCCAGCTGCTGAAATCCCCTTAAGCCCCCCGCCCCCAGATCAACGTGGGCACCACGGTGACGATGGCAGGGAACGGGGGCCCCCAGCCCCCAGGGCCCCCGGCCCCGCTGAGCCCCCCGACCACCCCCTGACCCCGGGGACCCCCGAGGCCCCCTGCAGCCCCCCCAGGGCCCCCAGGCAGGGCCGCCCCGGGTGATCCGGATCTCGCACCAGAGCGTGGAGCCCGTGGTGATGATGCACATGAACATCCAGGGTGAGACCCCAAATCCCCCCTCTGCTCCCCAAATCCCCTTCCCTGCTCCCCCTGTCCGCCTGGGGGCTCCATTCTGACCCCTTCCTGCCCCCCCAAATCCCGCCCTCTGCTCCCCCCACACAGGGGGGGCTCCATTCTGACCCCTCCTCTTTCTCTCTGTGCCCCCCCCACTCCAGACTCGGGGTCTCCCCACAGGGGGGCTCGGCAGGACCCCCGGCCCCGGGCTGGGCATCGGTGAGTGGGGGTTGGGGGAGGGCACTCAGGTGGGGTCTCGGGTGGGGATTTTGGAGAGGGTTTGGGGGGATTTGGGGGTGGGTTTCTAAGAGTACTTCAGTGTTCGGGTGGGGAGGGGTCCAGGGAGGTGTAGGGGGTGGTTTGGGGGTCCCTGGGGCCGTTCCTGACCCCCTGTGCCCCCAGGCGGGGTGGGGTGCAGCTGCCCCCACTGCCCCCCGAGTTCCTGCAGGCTGTGGCCCACCAGATCACCCAGCAGGCCATGGCGGCCGCGGCCTCGGCGGCCACAGGCACGGGGACCCCACCCGATAACTGACCCTCTGAGACCACCAACCCTGAAACTGGCCCCTGACCCCAAAAACTGACCCCGCACCCTGAACACTGACCCCAAAACTGACCCCTGACCCCAAAAGCTGGACCCCTGCAGACCACTGACCCCAAAACTGACCCCTGACCCCAAAACGACCTGACCCCACCCGAAACTGACCCCTGAGACCCCCTGACCCCAAAAACTGACCCCCTGAGACCACCAACCCTGAAAACTGACCCCCACCCCAAACTGACCCCAAAACTGACCCCTGGGACCCCCACACCCTGAAAACTGACCCCCGACAAACTGACCCCAAAAACTGACCCCTGGGACCCCAAACGACCCCTGGAACCACTGACCCCAAAAACTGAACCCCTGACCCCAAAACTGACCCCTGGGACCACCACCCCTAAAACTGACCTCTGGAACCCCAGTCCCTAAAAATTACCTCCTTGGGACCCCCAAGTCCTGACCCTCAGAGACCCCTGACCCCCAACCCCCTCCCCAGAGGGACCCCTGAATGCCCCCAAACCCCTGGGAGGGTCTCTGGGAGTCTCATGCCCCCTGACCCCCTGTCCCCAGGCCAGGCCGTGGGGGTTCCAGGCCCCGCCCGCGTCGTCATCGCCCGCCCCTCGGCCCCTCCCCAGGCCCACCCACCCGGAGCCCCCAGGCCGGAGCCGGCCCCGTGAGTGGGGGGACATGGGGGGCTGAGGAGGGGACTGTGGGGAGGGGATTCCTGGGGTAGTGGGGGGTTCTGCCTGGGTCTGGGGGGCCTTGGGGTGGTGGGGGCTGTCCCAGGGTTTGGGGTCCCAGGGGTGGTGGTGGAGGTCCCAGGATTTGGGGTCCCAGGGGTGGGAGGGTCCCAGGGATTTGGGGGTCCCAGGGGTGGTGGGGGAGGGTCCCAGGGATTTGGGGGTCCCAGGGGTGGTGAGGGGGGGTTCCCAGGGGTGGTGGAGGAGTCCCAGGGATTTGGGGGGTACCTGAGGTGATGGGGGAGCTGTGCCAGGGTTTGGGGGCTGTCCCAGGGTTTGGGGGTCCCCCCTGACCCCCCCGTGTCCCCCCCAGGCCCCTGGGGGGGCGTCTCTGGCCCAGGTGATCAGTGGGCTCGTGGGGCAGCTCCTGATGCAGCCGCTGGTGCTGGGTGAGGCACTGAGAGGGGGCACTGAGGGCGGACTGGGGACTGGGACGACTGACTGCGGATGGACTGGGAGACATCTGGGACGACACTGGGACAGACTGGGATGGACTGGGGACACTGTGGGGGACTGGGAGGTGCTCGGATAGACTGGGGACACTGGGGCAGACTGGGGACACTGGGAGGGACTGGGATGGACTGGGGGCACTGGGGGGGACTGGGAGGTGCTGGGATGGACTGGGGACACTGGGAGGGACTGGGATGGACTGGGGGCACTGGGGTGGACTGGGAGGGTACAGGGATGGTCTGGGTGGGCACTGGGAGGTGCTGGGATGGGACTGGGAGGTGCTGGGAGGGTGTGGGGCTGCACTGAGGGGGCCTCTGTGTCACGTTCTGGGGGTCTTGGGGGTGTCACCCCCCTGACCCCCCCCTTTTCTCCCCAGCCCAGGGTGGCTCCTCCCCTGCGGCCCCTCCCTCCCACCTCAGCTCCTCCCCCGGCTCGGCCCCACCCCCTCCCCACCGGCCCCTCCCTCCTCTGTCTGGGGGGCCCGGGGGTCCTGAGGGCTCGGCCCCTCCCCTACGGGGGGCTGCTGGGGGCTCCTGGGGCAGGGCCAACCCCTGGTGGGTGTGGCCGTGCCAGGGGTGGGGCCATCCTGGAGGCGTGGCCGAGCTGCTGCAGGTGGGTGGGGCTTCATGGGAAGGGGTGGGGCCGGGGGAGAGGAGGGGCTTGAGGAAAGGGAGGGGTCACAGATGTGGGTGGAGCCACATGGATTGACAGGGGAAGGGGTGGGGCTTGGGAAAGGGGGTGGAGCCACCGATTGATGGACAGGGTGGAGTGGGTGGGGCTTGAGAAAGGGGGTGGAGCCACCAATTGATGGATAGGGTGGAGTGGGTGGGGCTTGAGAAAGGGTGGAGCCACAGGTTGATGGACAGGATGAAACGGGTGGGGCACCAGAAAGGGGGTGGAGCCACCGATTGATGGACAGGGTGGAGTGGGTGGGGCTTGGGAAGGGGTGGAGCCACAGGTTGATGGACAGGGTGGAGTGGGTGGGGCACCAGAAAGGGGGTGGAGCCACCGATTGATGGACAGGGTGGAGTGGGTGGGGCTTGGGAAAGGGGGTGGGGCTCAGGTTGCTGGACAGAGTGGAGTGGGTGGGGCACCAGAAAGGCGGTGGAGACACAGATTGATTGACATGTGATGTGGGTGGGGCTTGAGGGAGGGGGTGGAGCCAGTGATCAAAAGGGTGGGGCATGAAAGGGGCAGAGCCAAAGCCCCTGACCCCGCCCCTCTAATCCCCTTTTCCCCCACAGGCCACCCAGCCTGGCCCCGCCCCCTCGACCGAGACCCCTCCCCGACTGACCAGGGCCCTCCCCCTTCCCTCCTCCTCCTCCTCCGCTGCCCCTCCCCCTCCCCGCCACCCCCTCCCCAGCCCCCTCCGAGGGCACCCCAGCCCCTCCCCCCACCGAGGGCGGCCCCGCCCCCGCCGCCCCTCCCCCGGGAGCCTCCCCCGAGTTCTTCACCAGTGTCCTGCAGGGGGTCCTGAGCTCCATGCTGGGCCCCCTGGGAGCCCCCCCGAGCGGCCCCCCCGAGAGCATCGCAGCCTTCCTGAGCCGCCTGAGCGGGACCCCGGGCTGCTCGAGGGCACCCCGGCCCTGACGGTGAGGGGGGGCTGGGGGGGTCCCTGGGGGAGCTGCTGAGGGACCCCCGGCCCTGACGGTGAGGGGGATTGAGGGGGTCCTGGGGGGGCTCTGGGAGACCCCCGGGCTGCTCGAGGGCACCCCCAGCCCTGACGGTGAGGGGTGGGCTGGGGGATACTGTGGGTTCTTTTTGGGGCTGGAGAATTTATGGGGGATCCCTGGCCCTGACAGTGAGTGGGGAGGGGTCCTGGGGGGTTGGGGGAGGTCTTTAGGGGGTTGTGACATCTCCCCATGTATTTCTTCCTCCCCAAGGTTTTTTTGGGGCGCTGCTGGCTCTGATCTGCCAGCACCTGTCCATGGTTATTGGGGGGCTCTCTCTGACCCTCCCCATGTATTTCTGCCTCCCCAAGGTTTTTTTGGGGCGCTGCTGGCTCTGATCTGCCAGCACCTGTCCATGGTTATTGGGGGGCTCTCCATGGTTATTGGGGGGCTCTCTCTGACCCCCCCCCATGTTTCTGTGACCCCCCCCCAGGGTTTTTTGGGGCGCTGCTGGCTCTGATCTGCCAGCACCTGTCCATGGTTATTGGGGGGCTCTCTCTGACCCTCCCCATGTATTTTTTCCCCCCCCAGGGTTTTTTGGGGCCCTGCTGGCTCTGATCTGCCAGCACCTGTCCATGGTGGACGTGGTGCTGCTGCTGCACGGGCGGTGCCAGCCCCTGGCGCGGCTGCAGCCGCTGCTTCGCCGCTGCTTCCGCCAGAGATACCTGGGGGGCCGCGACCCCACCGAGGCCAACGTGCGGGTGAGGGACCCCCCGGGCCCCCCAGCTCGTCCCAGATACAGGGACCCCCAAAACCTCCCAGACTCCCAAAACCCCCCAGGACCCCCAGAACCCTCCCAGGACCCCCAATCCCACAGGACCCCCAAAACCCTCCCAGGACCCCCAAAACCCTCCCAGGACCCCAATCCCACCCAGGACCCCCAGAACCCTCCCAGGACCCCCAGAGCCCCCCAGGACACCCCAAACCCTCCCCAGGACCCCCAAACCCCACAGGACCCCCAGCCCTCCCCAGGACCCCCAAACCCCACCCAGGACCCCAGAACCCTCCCCAGGACCCCCAAAACCTCCCCAGGACCCCCCAGGACCCTCAGACCCTCCCAAAACACCCCTGAGTTCCTTGGAGATCCTGGGATCCCCTCACACCAAATTCCTCTGAGATCCTGGGACTCCCTCCAGGCACCCCTCAATTCATCCCAGATATGGGGACCCCCCAAAACACCCCCCAAGTCATCTAAGCCTGGGACTCCCCAACTTCCCCCAAAGATCCCCCAAAACCCCCTCAAATTGCTTTGAGATTCTGGGACCCTCCCCCAAAGCTCCCCCCGGGCACTCCCAAGGGGTGGGACCCCCTAAAAGCTCCCCCCAAACCAACACTAGGAACCCCTAAACTGCCCCTGAACCCCCCAAAAAAACCTTCCCCAGGGTTTAGGACTCCCCCCTTTGTGTTGGGGAGGAGGAGCTCGAACCCCCCAATTTTGGGGGGCTCTGACATTGCCCCCCCCCTCCCCCAGGCAGCGACGCACGATCTGATCATGGGGCTGGAGGGGTTCATCCGGGAGAGCTTCGTGAGTGGGGGGCTCAGGGGTTGGAGGCTCTGGGTTCTGGGGGCTCTGGGGTCTGAGAGGGGACCTAGGGGGATTGGAGAGTCTCATGGGGGTGATGAGTTTTCTCTCAGGAGTCTTTGTGAAGCCAATTTGGGGACCTGGTGGGGGGTCCCAGTGGGTGGAGGAAGCTTTGGGGGAGTCTCAGGGGTTTGGGGTTCCCAGGCAGTGAGGAGGTTTGGGGGCAGTCTCAGATGGTTTTGGGGGTCTCAGGAGTTGGGGGTCTCAGAGGGACTGGGGGTCTCTGGGGGTGTTAGGGGTGTTTGCAGGGGCTGCAGAGGCACTTTAAGGGGCAGCTGCTGGGGGGCTCTGAGGGTTGAGGGCAGCTTTGGGGTTCCATGGGGAGGTCTGGGGATCCTCCCTAAGCCCCCACCCCTTTTCCTCCCCCCTTTCCCCCAGGCCGGGTGCGAGTGGCGGACGGGGTGGACATCACGCGCACCAACGTGGAGTTCCTGCGGGAGCAGTTCAGCGCATCGCCCTGCACGTGCTGCGCTGCACCGGTCAGGGGGGACACGGGGGGCTCAGGGGGTCCTGGGGGGCTCAGGGGGGCACAGGATGGGGGTACAGACAGGGTACAGTGGGGTCAGTTCAACCGCATCGCCCTGCACGTGCTGCGCTGCACCGGTCAGGGGGCTCAGAGGGGTCACAGGGGGGCTGGGGGGGCTCAGGGGGTGGGCTGGGGGTAACACAGTGGGGTCTGGGGGTCCTGGGGTCTCAAGTCCGTGGCTCACGGCGCGTCCCCCCCATGTCATCCCCCCCCAGACGGCTCGTTCGGGCCGCGCCTGCTGGAGCTCTGCAACCGCGGCCTGTTCGAGTGCCTGGCGCTGAACCTGCACTGCCTGCGGGGCGAGAGGGGCGCCCTGGGGGCTCTCATCAGCGACCGCATCGTGAGTGGGGCCGGGGGAGCGGCTGGGGGGGCCGGGAGGACCCCAAGGAAGGGGCCTGACCCCCTGACCCCCCCTGTGCCCGCAGCGCCGTCTGTCGGCCGACGTGCCGCCGTCGCTGGTGGGCTGGCTCACGGCCGTGGTGGGGCTGCGGCTGCAGGCGGTGCTCGAGTCGATGCCCGTGACCCCCGAGCAGGTGCTGCCCTACGTCAGGCACCTGGGGGAGCCCCCCGAGCCCCCGCCACGACAGGTGAGAGCGGGACCCGCCCACGGCCCCGCCCGCGCCCAGGTAACCCCGCCCATGCCCAGGTAGCCCCGCCCACACCGCGGCGCCGACCACCCCTGAGCCCCAGCCCCCATATCGACCCCTCCCCTGGACAGGCCACACCCATACAGGTAACCACACCCCAAGACAGGCCACACCCACACAGGTAACCCCAGGCCAGGCCACAACCCACACAGATAACCACACCCCAGGACAGGCCACACCCACACTGGTAACCCCACCCCAGGACAGGCCACACCCACACAGGTAACCACACCCCAGGACAGGCCACACCCACACTCGTTACCACACCCAAAAACAGGCCACACCCACCCTGGTAACCACACCCCTCTGGTGGAAACCACGCCCCTGATGAGACCCCACCCAGCAGCCCCACCCCAAACAGCCACACCCGCCCTGCAGGAAGCCACGCCTCTTTGCAAGCCCCACCCTACCCTGAACCACACCCCTTGCTGGCCACACCCCCGAGTTAACCCCTCCTTCTCATTACTCTGGCCCCACCCCCACAGCCTGAGGAGCCAATGGAGGTTCAGGAAGCGGAGCCGCCCCCGGAGGAGGCGCAGGTGGGCGGGGCTTATGGTGGGGGTGGGGCCTAATGCAGGGGTGGGGCTGTGGTGGCTGGGAGTGGGGCTTAGCACTGGGGTGGGGTCTGTTGCAGGGGCGGGGCTGTGCTGGGGGTGGGGCTCCGTGCAGGGTGGGCTGAGCCTCGCACAGAGGGCGTGGCTCGTCCCAGGCCCCGCCCCGCTGAGCCCCCGTGTGCCCCCAGCGGGACGGCGCTGAGGTCCCCCGCCCCGCCACCACGGCCGAGGAGGCCCTGCCCCCTCCGAGAGCGACAGCGAGGCCTGGGCGGCCGCCGTGCCCCGGTGAGTGGGGAGGGGCCGGGGGTGGGAGGGTGGTGAGAGGCGCTGTGACCCCCCCTCACCCTGTTTCCCCCCCAGGAGTGGGTGCCCATCATCCGCGAGGACGTGCAGCGCCAGCGCAAGGGGAAGGCGCAGCCCCCGCTCAGCGACGCCTACCTGAGCGGGATGCCCGCCAAGCGCCGCAAGGTGGGACCCACAGGGACCCCTGACTGACCCACAGGGACCCCCAATGATCCCCAGAGTGACCCCCAGACTGACCCACAGGGACCCCCCAGGATCCCCAATAACCCCAGAGTGACCCCCCAGGGACCCCCAGACTGACCCCCAGGGACCCCCAGACTGACCCCCAGGGACCCCAATAACCCCAGAGTGACCCCCAGGGACCCCCCAGGATCCCCAGTGGTCCCCAGAGTGACCCACAGGGACCCAAATAACCCCAGAGTGACCCTCAGAGACCCCAATGATCCCCAGACTGACCCCCAGGGACCCCAGACTGACCCCCAGGGACCCCTAGGAACCCCCATGATCCCCAGACTGACCCCCAGGGACCCCAATAGCCCCAGAGTAACCCTCAGGGACCCCTTAAGTGATTCCAGACTGACCCTTAGTGACCCCCACAGGGACCCCCTAAAATACGCAGATTGACCCCCCCCCCCCAGACCAACAATGACCCCCTGAGGGACCCCCTGAGTGCCCCAGACTGACCCCCCCAGAGTGACCTGGAGTGACCCCCAATGGATCCCTCTCCTAAAACGACCCTCTGACCCCCGCCCTATTCCCCCCAGGCGGTGCAGGCGAGGCCCCCTGCTCCTGGCCGAGGGCCGTGGGTCGAGCCGCCCGAGCCGCCGGGCCCGGACCCTCGGGACCCCGAGAGCCTGAGCAGGAGCTGAGCCAGGGACCCCTCCAGGAGGGCTACAGGCAGCAGGTGAGGGGGGCACAAAGGGGGGTACAGGCAGCAGGTGAGGGCAGGGGGGCACAAAGGGGGTACAGGCAGCAGGTGAGGGGGGCAGAAGGGGGTACAGGCAGCAGGTGAGGGCAGGGGCACAAAGGGGGGACAGGCAGCAGGTGAGGGCAAGGGGGTACAGGCAGCAGATGAAGGGGTAGGGGTGGTGGGAGGGGTCTCTGAGTAGGCATGAGGTGGGGGCTGGAGAAAGAAGGATGAAGATTGGGGGTCGCAGGGTGGGCTCTGGGTCTAACTGGGGGTCTCACACCCTGGAGGTGGAGCAGGGGATGGGGGCGTGTTATGAGGATTCTGGGGGTCTCACACCCTCAGAAGGGGTGGGAGAAGATGAGGGGGTCCCAGTGGGGGTGTGGCCACGGGGGTGGAGTCTCAGCCTCCCCCGCCCCTCCCCAGCTCCAGGCGGACCTGGCGCGACGCCTCCGCGACGACCCCCGATTTCAGCCCCCGGCGCTTCCCCAACGCCCACCGGGCCTTCGGAGCCCCCTCCCCGAGCGAGCTCCCAGGAGCCCCCAATAAAGAGGCCCCTCCCCTGCTCCAGTGGCTGCTCCACCACCACTTTTATTCCTCTTTCGGGGCCGCTTGGTTTCAGTTCCGTGTCCGAGTTGGGTTTTTGTCATTAAACGTTCCTTTCCCAAAGGGGGTGGGGAGGGCCTGGCCCCTCACTGGGGGAAGGGTGTTTCCCCGGCCCCTCCCCACCCACATAAATACGGGACCCCGGGGTTTTGGGGGTCACTGGGGCCGCCGCGGCTCAGGGGGCCCTGGGGGCCCTAAGCGCTGGGGGAGGGCGGCGGGACCCCGGGGGTGGGGAGGGGCGGTGGGCTGGGGAGGGGCGGGGCCCCGGGGGCAGGGGGCTCGGCCGCTCGGGGGCGGGGGCCCGCGAGGAGGGGAGGGGCGAAGGGGCGGGTGGGCGGGGCCAGGAGCCGCCCCAGCGGCAGGAGGGGAGGGCGGCGCCGGGGGGCCCCGAAGTTGACGACAGGGGGCACCGGGGCTCCACCAGCGGCAGCAGCATCTGGGGGAAAGGGGGTCAGAGCAGGGGCTGGGCCCCAGGGGAGGGCGTGACCCCAAAAGAGGGGATTTTACCCCCAAAAGGGGGGATTTTACCCCCAAGAGGGGGTGGCTTTACCTGCTGGAAGCTGCTCTGGCCCTGCCCGTAGAACTCCGAGGGCGGGGTCAGGTCCTGTCGCATCTGAAATGGGGGGTGTGGCCGATGGGAGGGTGGAGTCTCATTTAGCCCCATCCCTGACCCACACCCTACCTTGGTCCTGCTGTTCACATTTGGCTCCACCCACTGCCACGCCCCCTGCAGCCCCACCCTCTTTGGCCCCACCTTCTTGCAGCTACACCCCCTTTGACCTTGCCCCTCTCCATTGCCCCACTCTGGCCCCTCTGCCACTGCCCCACCCATTTTGGCCCCACCCCGTTTGGCCCCACCCCGTTTGGCCCTTCCCCACTTTGCCCCCACCCTGTTTGGCCCCTCCCCATTTTGCCCCACCCTGTTTGGCCCCTCCCCCATTTCGCCCCACCCCATTTGGCCCCTCCCCACTGCCCCACCCACTTAGGCCCCACCCACGTTTGGCCCCTCCCCATTGCCCCACCCTGTTGGGCCACTCCCCATTTCCCCCACCCTCTTTGGCCCCTGCCCCAGCCCCCTCACCTGCAGCACGGGGGGGTCCGGGGGGGGGCAGTAGGGCCCGTACAGGAAGGGGGTTGGGTACAGGACCCCTCCAGCCCCCCCCAGCTTGGCCAGGTCGGGGCCCCCCAGGCCCGGGAAGTCGACGAAGGGGCCCTTGAGGGGGGGCAGGGGCAGCCCCGCCCCCGCCACCAGCACCGGCCTGGGGGCACAGAAAGGGGAGGGGGCTCAGAGAGGGGTCCAGAGTCAGAGAGTTGGGGGTGTTGCAGCCCCCAGATCTGCCCCTCCCCCAAATACCTGTAGGGGGCCAGCGAGGGGTCCCGGGCGGAAACTGCTGCCGGTGCCAGGGGGCTCCACGGGGGTGGGCACCTGGGGAGGGAGCAGGGCAGGATCAGCCCCATGGAGCCCCCACGTGACCCCCCAGACCCTCCCCACACCTCGAAAAGTGCCCCCAAAAGCCCAGACCTGCCCTCAAACCCCTAAAGTCCCATAACCCCCAGGTGACCCCCCCAGCCCCCCATAACCCTCCCAGCCCCCATTTCCCCCAGGTGACCCTCCCCAGCCCCCCAGCCCCTCATTCCCCCCAGGTGACCCCCAGCCCCCATTTCCCCCAGGTACCTGCCCGGGGGCTGTGGCCCCCGTAGGAGCCCTCAGGAAGGGGCGCTGTCCAGGCCCGGGAGTCCTCAGGGGGCCCTTGGGCTCGGGGTCTCTTGGGGCCCCTCGAGGGCAGCAGCTCCCAGTCCCGGGGGCAGCGCTGAGCTGGGGAGGCACAGAGTGAGCCCCGAAATCTTGACACCCCCATCCCCTCAAACCCCCAGGACCCCCCATCCCCTCACCCCCAGAACACCCCCAGCCCCCTACTCTCAGCCCCCGGGGTCGGGTCTCCTTCTCGCTGCGCTCTCCGTCGGGGGCCCTGTCGGGGCGTGGGGGACCCCCAAACCTCGGCCCCGGGGGTTCCGGGCCCGCTGGGACCTCTCGGTGCCGATGGGGCCTGGGGGCCGTGGGGGGCCCCGCACACCTGGGGGCAGGGTGAGGGGGGCTCAGGGCACCCCCACCCACCCCAGTTTGGGGTCCTCCCTGGACCCGCGTGTGCATGGGGGGGCAGCACCTTCCCAGTTCCTCCCAGTTCCCTCAGCGCCCACTCCCAGTCCCTCCCAGTCCCATCGCAGTCTCTCCCACTCTCTCCCAGTGCCTCCCAGTCCCCAAATCCTTTCCCAGTCCCTCCCAGTCCCATCGCAGTCTCTCCCCAATCCCTTCCCAGTACCCCCCATCCTCCAATCCTTCCCAGTCCCTTCCCAATCCTCCCAAATCCCTTCCAAGTCCCTTCCCAGTCCCATCCCAGTCCCCCAGTTCCTCCGTGCACCCAGTGTCCTGGTGGGGAGGGGCAGTCGGCAGCGCGGCTCGGGGGTCCCTCGGGAGGGGGAGGGCAGGGGGATTCCCCGCCCTGGGGCTGTTTGGGGGTTGCCGAGCCCTCTGTCGGGGAGCTGCGCTGACTGCAGGCGCCCGAGTCCCCGCTCAGCTCCACCCCGCTGTCCGCCGGGCTGGGCTGGGGTGGGGGCAATGGGGGTCAGGGGGCCACGGGGGCGGGGAGCTCTGGGACCCCCGACCCCCCAACTCTCACCTCGGGGCTGGCACCGTCCTCGAAGGGGGCAGGGCTCCATCCAGGGCTGCCCCGGGCCAGCAGCTTGGGGGCACCTGGGGGGTGAGGGGAGTACACCCAGTAACCTCCTCAGTGCCCTCCCAGTAACCCCTCAGTGCCCTCCCAGTAACCCCCTCAGTGTCCTCCCAGTAACCCCTCAGTGCCCTCCCAGTAACCCCTCAGTGTCCTCCCAGTAACCCCTCCAGTGCCCTCCCACTAACCCTCATGCCTCCAGTAACCCTCCAGTGCCCTCCCACTAACACCCTCCAGTGCCCCCAGTTCCTCCCAGACCCCCTCAGTGTCCCCCCTCCTTCCCCATCCCTCCAGTGCCCTCCCAGTGCCCCTCGATGCCCACTCAGTGCCCCCCAGTATCTCTCAGTGCCCCCCCTTCCCTCCCGGTTCCTCCCCAATCCCCTCACTGTCCCCCTAGTACTTCCCAGTCCCCCACTGCACCATTTAATGCCCCTCCACTATCCCCAGTCCCCTCCCAGTCCCTTCCCAGGTCCCTCCCAGTCCCCTCCCAGTCCCTTACTGGTGGGCAGGTGGCTCCAGAGGGGGGGGCTCAGCCTCCCCTGGGGGTCCCCCGGCCCGTCCTGCTGAGGGTCCCCAAAGCCCAGCGGATCCTGGGGGTCAGGGGGGTCAGTGGGGGTTGGGGCAGTGGGAGCCCCCAGGACCTCTCCAGGCCCCCTACCCCTCCCCTCACCTGATTTTGGGGCCTCTCGCGCCGTTTGGCTATAAGCCCCGAGCCCCGACCCGGCCCGGGGGCTCCAGGGGGCCCAGGGGGGCTCTGGGGCTGTGGAGGCAGAGGGGGTTATTGGGGGTCACTGTGGGACAGCCCTGGGGCAGGGGGCTGTAACTGGGGGTCAGCCCTGATTTGGGGGGTCAGCCCCAATCTGGGGGTCCCAGGGGCCGTACCTGCGGGGGGCAGCCCGGGCGGGGGTCCCGGCCTTGGGCCGCAGCTGTGCCAGGGCCCTGCGGATGCCCCCGGGTCGCTCGGGACCACCCGGTCGAGGCGGAACACGGCCGAGGGCGGGGGCAGTGCCAGCCCCGGGGGCCGCGCCGGGGCCAGGGGGCCGGGGGCTCCTCGGCGTTACGGCTGCAAGGGGGAGGAGAAAGGGTGAGAGACCCCCAAACACACCCTGAGCCCCCAGAACCCAAACCCTCCGTTTGGGTGTCCTCCTCCAACCATTCCCAGCCTTCTCCAGAGCCCCCAAACCCTCCCCAGCCCCATTTCTTGCCCCCAAGACCCCCAGAATTCCTTCTCCCCATCCCCAAGAGCCCCCAGCACCCACAGCCCCCATAACCCCCATATACTCTCCCCAGAACCTCCCCCCAAATTTCCCCCCAGACCCCATGTACCCTCCTCCCACCCCCCCAGCCACAGCCCCCTCACCTGCGGTTTCGGGCGAGGGCCACCCTCTTGTCCCCCTCGCCCCCCGGCTCGCTCGCTGCCGCCCCCTGCGGCCCCCGGAGCGGCCGCCCCGCGGCGGGGGGTTGTTCTGGGGTCCGGGCCCCCGAGCGGCGCTGGCTGGAGAAGCTGCGCTTGGCCAGGCGGGGGCTGGGGGCGGCGGGGGGCGGGCCTGCGCGGGGGCCGCCGGGGCGGGGGTCCCGCTCAGGGGCCCCCTGCGCCCCCCAGGTCGCTGCTCTCCGACGCCGTCTCCCACTGGTCCGAGTTGTGGTCGGGGAGCGGGGGGCGCTGGGGGCGGTGGTGGCCGCGGGGGGCCCGGGGCGTTTTGGGTGGGGGCAGCCCAGTCTGGGGGCCCCCCGCGCTGCTGGGGAGGGCCCTGGGGGCTCCTGGCGCAGGCGGCGGAACCGGGGGGGCTTGTCCTGCTGCTGCCCCCGCCCGTGGCGGCGGCGCCGGGGCCGCTCGAGCCCCGGGGCAGGGGCTGCGCCTGGGGCTGGGCGGGGGCAGGGCCGGCGGGGGGCTCCAGGCGGGGGCGGCCTCGCGGCCGCGGCGCAGCGGGACCCCGGGGGGTGAAGACGCGCCGCGGGGGGCGCGGGGGCAGCCCGGGGGCGGCGGCGGCGGCGCGGGGGCCTGGGGGTCTCGCCCCCCGTGTCGGAGCTCTGAGCCGCGCTGGCGCCGCCGGGGCTCTCCTCGTACTCGAGCTGCTGCGCGGCTCCGACCCGGGGGCCGGGGGCCGCGCCAGGGGGCCCCCGGAGGAGGAGGGCCGCGGGGCTGGGGGCGGCGTCCCTGGGGCGCCACGGAAGCCGCGGAACTCGCGGGGCGGCTCGCCCCGCCCCCCTCGGCCGCGCCCCCGTAGGCCCCCGGAACCCCTGGCCCCGGGCGAAGAACTCGCCGCGCCCGGATCTCTCCGGGGCCCTCGGCCGGGCCCCCGCGCTCCAGGGGGGCTCTCGGCGCGGCGGGACGGGACGCCTCCGCGCCTCTGGGGCCCCCCGGCCCTTGGTGGCCAGGGGAGGGGCGAGCCCGCTTTGGCCTTGGGGGCTTCTGGGAGTCCTTGGTGGGGGCTCTTCCCGGCGCCCCCCTCGTCCTTGGGGGTTTCTTGATGGGCCCTGCGGCGGGGGGGCTCTGTCGGGGGCTCGTCGGGGGCGCGCGGGGGCCCCCAGGCCTGGGCCCCCAGCGGGTCTCGGTGCGGGACCTCGGGGCTTGTGGGGCCGCCGGGGCGCGGGGCGCTGGGCGCGCGACCCTCCTCCTCCTCCTGGGGGCCTCAGCGCGGCCCCCAGCGCCTCCTCCTTCTGGGGGCTTCTGGGGGCGGCGCCTCTTGGGGGCTCCTTGAAGGTGGGGCGCGGGCGGCGGCGCGGGGGCGGCGGCTCTGGGGCCCTGTCGGGGCATTGGGGGTGTCGGGGGTCGTGGGGAGCAGCCCCGGGGGCAGGGCCCAGGGCCGGGGGCGCGGGGGTCCTCGGGGGCGGGGGGAAGCGGGGCAGGGGGCCCCCTGCTCTCGAAGGGGGTACACGTAGGGGGCGCCCCCGGGTCCCGCAGGCGGACGGGGGTCTCACTCCTGGGGGAGAAAGGGGGTTAGTGAAGGGTCGGGACCCCCAGAGCCCCACCCAGCCCCCCAAGCCCCCACTCACCTTAGCCCCTTGTCGTCGTCGCCGCGGGGCGCAGGGGAGGGCAGCCCTCGCGGCTCGGGGGGCCGCGAGGCGTCGCCCCTCCCCAGGTGGGTTTGGGGTCCCCGGGGTCCCGCGGTCCCGCAGGGGGGCCGGGGGGCGGTCGAAGGGCTCCGATCCCGACCCCCGCTGTCCGAGCGCTCCCGCGGCAGCAGCCCTGGGGGCACAGGGGGCACGGGGGGTCAGGGGGCACAGAGGAGGGATCAGAGACCCCCAAACACAGTGTGACTGTGCCCCCACTCACGCTGTAGAGCCAGAAACCCCCTAATGACACTGCGGGGCCCCAACGCCCTCCTCCCCTCAAATCATTCCAAGGGGCTCAGACCCCCTCAAACCCAGTATGGGGCTGAGACCCCCCCCTACCTCCCCAAATATCACCACGAGGCTGAGAACCCCCCAAATCCACTACGTGACCATGACAAATCCCTCTCCACCCCCAAATCCATCCACTATGGGGCTGAGAGCCCTCCTGCATCCCCCAGATATCCACTATGGGGCTGAGAGCCCCTTCAAATCCACTACGTGGGTTATGAACCCTCACCCCAGATCCATCCACTATGGGCTGAGACCCCCTACCCCCCAAATTCCACCATGGGGCTGAGACTTCCTTCCATTCACTATGGCCCCCCCTCATCCCCCCAAATCCACCACAGGGCTGTGATCCCCAGCCCCAAATCCTCCCATGGAGCTGAGACCCTCCCCTGAGCCCCATCTCTGTGGGGCTGAGACCCTCCCCAAGCCCCCCACCTCCTCACCTGAGGGGTGCACGCCGGGGGTAGAAGTCGACGGGGGCCCGCGGGGGAGCAGCCGGGGTCCACGTAGGGGGCAGCATCACCCAGCGGGGGTCGAGCCGAGCTGGGGCAGCGCCGGGGGCCGGCCCAGGGCCCCGAACAGCTTGGGGGCCCAGGGGGCGCCGGGGGCCGTACCGGGGGTACCCTGCCCCCAGAGCCCCCAGGGTGGGGGCCGCGGGAGGGGCCGTGGGGGCCCGTGCTGCTGCTGCTGCTGCCACTGCTGCTGCTGCTTCAGCAGCTGCTCCTGGGGGCACGGGGGCTTAGGGGGCACCCAGACTGGGGGAAACGGCTTTGCCCCCCAGACCCCCACACATCAAACCACCCCTCCAGGCACCCCCATGCTTGGGGAACCCCCGTCCCACCCCCACTCCTCCTCCCCATCTCCAGCCTCCCCAACCCCCTCCCACCCCCAACTCCCCTCCTCACCTGCTGCTGCCGCTGGAACCGGGGGCAGCGACTTCTGGTACTTGGGGTAGGCGGGGGCTGGGCCGGGGGCTGGCGTGGGGGCGCCGCCCCTCTCCCTGGGCTCCCCCTTGGGGGCGGTGGCAGTGGCGGCCGGGGGGCCGGGGGTGGTGGCGGCTCCTCGGGGCTCCAGGGGGCCTCGGGGCGGCGGCTCCACTGGGGGGAAGAAAATCAGAGGTGAGGAGAGATACAACATAGTGCAGCCCCCACCCCAAAACCCCTCCATGGGGCAGCCCCCAGGACAGAGACCCCCAAATTCTATGGACTCCCAACCCCCAACACCGAGACCCTCCAAATCCCCCGAGGTCCATGAGGGGTGGGAATCGGAGTCCCAGCCCCACCATAACGAACATCCCCCTCACCTGCAGCGCCGGGGTCCCGCCGTGCCCCCTCCTCCGGCTCCGGCCGCGCTCCGGCGGCTCCGGCGCGGCCTGGGGGCTCGGGGCGCCGGGGCGGCTCGGCGGGGGCGGGGGCTGGCCCGGGGGTCTCCGTGGCAGTCGGGGAGGCCCCGGGGGTCCCGGGCGGGGGCGGCGCTCGGGGGCCTCGAATTTCTCGTCCAGGCGCTTGAGCTTCTCAGCGCAGGCGGCGCGGCGCTGCTCGGCCATGCGGCGCTCCTCGGCCTCGCGGCGCCGCCGCGCCCGCGCCACCGCCTGCGACAGCTCCGCGCACGACTGGCGGCGACGGCGGCGCCACGCCTCATCTTCATCCTGGGGAGACACACCTGTCACACCTGCAACACCTATCACACACCTGGGACACCCCAAACACACCCCCCGCGCCACCGCCTGCGACAGCTCCGCGCACGATTGACGGCGACGGCGGCGCCACGCCTCATCTTCATCCTGAGGGGACACACCTGTCACACCTGGAGACACACCTGTCACACCTGGGACACCCCAAACACACCCCCCGCGCCACCGCCTGCGACAGCTCTGCCCACGACTGGCGGCGACGGCGGCGCCACGCCTCGTCTTCATCCTGAGGGGAAACACACCTGTCACACCTGGGGCACACCTGGGACACACCTGAGATACCTGGGACACCCCAAACACACCCCCCGCGCCACCGCCTGCGACAGCTCCGCACAGGATTGACAGCGACGGCGGCGCCACGCCTGTCTTCATCCTGCAGGAACACACCTGTCACACCTGGGACACACCTGAGATACCTGAGACACCCCAAACACACCCCCCGCGCCACCGCCTGCGACAGCTCCGCGCAGGACTGACGGCGACGGCGGCGCCACGCCTCGTCTTCATCCTGCAGGGGACACACCTGTCACACCTGGGACACACCTGAGATACCTGAGACACCCCAAACACACCCCCGCGCCACCGCCTGCGACAGCTCCGCACAGGACTGACGGCGACGGCGGCGCCACGCCTTGTCTTCATCCTGAGGGGACACACCTGTCACACCTGGGACACACCTGAGATACCTGGGACACACCTGGGACACCCCAAACACACCCCCCGCGCCACCGCCTGCGACAGCTCCGCGCAGGATTGACGGCGACGGCGGCGCCACGCCTCGTCTTCATCCTGCAGGGACACACCTGTTACACCTGGGACACCTATCACACACCTGGGACACTCCAAACACACCCCCCGCGCCACCGCCTGCGACAGCTCTGCACAAGATTGGTGGCACTGCTGGCTGCCACGGCTCATCCTTGTCCTGTGGGAGGACACACCTGTCACGCCTCGGCCTCACACCTGAGACACCTGGGACACACCTGTCACACACCTGCCTCGCACCTGGCTCCTATCTGGGCACACCTGGACACACCCATTACGCACCTGACCACCCCCATCACGCATCTGTCACACCTCTGAACTCACAACCAAACACAGCTATGTCATACCTGGGCACACCTGAACTCCTGGCTGAACGCACCTGTGTCGTACCTGGGCACACCTGAACTCACAGCCAAACACACCTGTGTCATACCTGGGCACGCCTGAACTTGCACCCGTACGCTCCTCGTCGTTCACCTGAACTGCCCTGGATACACCTGAACACGCCTGAGCCCCCCACCCCCGTGTCCCCCCAGCACAGCTCTGACCCTGTGCCCCCCTCCCACCCCGGGGTCCCACCCCAGGGGTCCCACCCCACTCACCGGGAGCTCGTTGGGCGTGGCCCAGCTGCCGCGGTTGGGGGCGGCGGGGGGCGGGGCCCGGTTTGGGGGCCGGGGGCGGTGCCGGGGCTCTTTGGGCCCCTCCTTCTGGGGGGCGACTTGGGGGGCGGCGGCTCCTCCTTGGGGGGCTGCGGAGCCTCGGGGGGGGCCGGCGGCTCGTTCTCCTTCCTGGGGGGGACACAGGGATTATAGGGGGTGATGGGGAGCCCCCGTTTTTGGGGGGTGATGGGGAGCCCCCCTTTTTTGGGGGGGTCCGGGCTCCCCTGCCCCCTCACCCCTCGTCCTCCTCGTCCTCGTCCCGCCCGTCCTCCTCGTCGCTGAACTTGAGCTTCTCGCTGTAATCGACCTCCTCGTGGGCTCCTGGAACACGGGGGGGGACAAAGTGAGCGTGGGGGGGTCCCCGGGGGTCCCCCAGCCCCTCCAAACCCCCCTGAACCCTTCCCAAGCCCCCCTCACCGGCCCAGCCCTCGTCGTTCTCCTGGTCCAGCTCGTCGAACTCGCGCAGCTCGTCCTGGCGCAGCACGGGGGGGCGGGACGGGGGAGACCCCCCCCTTGGGGGGGCACCACGGGGACCCCCCGGCCTTGGGAACCTGTGGGGGTCAGGGGGTCAGCAGGGGGGGAACCCCAAACCCCCCGGGGTGGGAGCTCAGGGGTTTTGGGGTCCCCATTAACAACAGGATTGGGACCTTTGGGGTCTCCCCAACAAGAAGACTAGGGGGGTTTGGGGGTCGCCCCCAGGGTGATAATGAGGGAATGAAAATTTCGGGACCTCCCATTATGAGAATGGGGGTGAGAAGCAGGGAAAGGGTTTTTGGGGTTACCTCAGTCATGGAATTTGGAGACAGAAAAGATTTGGGGTCCCCCCAACGTAATAATCGGGGTGTTGGGATTTTTGAGGGGTTTAGAGCACATTGGGGTCCCCCCAAACAAATAAGTCAGACCAGTTGTGGGGGGTGGTTGTGGGAGGAGAGAGAGGGTGGGGGGACCCCAAAATGCAGGAACCAGGGGGCAGAGTCAGCCATTTGGGGGTTTTTTGGGGGGTTTTGGGGGTGCTCCCCACTCACCTCTGTGCGTCGGGGCCCCGGAAGGGCCCGTAGGGCGGCGGGAAGGGCAGGTACGGGGGGTACATCTGGGGGGGACACCCCAAAATTAACGGGGGAGCCCTCCCTTCAGTGGGGAAAACCCTCCCCACGTTTGGGGGAGCGGCACCCCCACATTTGGGGGGTGGGAGGAGGGGTCGATACTCACAAAGGGTGGCATCACCCCCCGGTATGGGGGGAAATGGGGGGGTCCGGGGGGGGCTCCCCCCCCCTCGGCCGGGGGCTCCTCAGCCCCTCGCCCCTCCCGCCAGCTGCCGCCTGGGGGGAAAGGGGTCAAGGAGGGGCCTAGAATGAGTGGGGGGGTCCTGGGGAGTCCATGGGGGATAAGGGACTCCGGGGAACATTCAGGGGTGTCCTGGGTGGCTCAGGGGTGTCTGAGGGAATTTGGGGTTCCCAGAGGGGTCTCAGGGGTGTCTGAGGGAATTTGGGGTTCCCAGGGGGGCTCAGAGGTGTCTGAGGGTCCCGAGAGGGCTCAAGGGCATCTAAGAATGCTCAAGGGTGTCTGAGGGGGTTTAAAAGTGTCTGGGGTCCTGAGGGGGCTCAGGGGTGTCTGGGGGGCTCAGGGTGTCCGCGGGGTTCAGGGGTATCTGGGGTTCCCGAGGGGCCTCAGGGGTGTCCAGGGTGTGCTGGGGGCCTCAGGGGTGTCCAGGGGGCTCAGGGGTGTCTGGGTTCCCAAGGGGGCTCAGGGGTGTCTGGGTTCCCAAGGGGGCTCGGGGATGTCTGGGGGGCTCAGGGGTGTCCAGGGGGCCCAGGGGTGTCCAGGGGGTTCAGGGGTGTCTGACGGGGCTCAGGGGTGTCTGGGTTCCCAAGGGGCTCGGGGATGTCTGGGGGCTCCGTGGTGCAGGGGTGGGCTCAGGGGTGTCCAGGGGGGCTCAGGGTGTCTGGGTTCCCAAGGGGCTCGGGGATGTCTGGGGGCTCAGGGGTGTCCAGGGGGCTCAGGGGTGTCTGGGTTCCCAAGGGGGCTCGGGATGTCTGGGAGGGCTCCGTGGTGCAGGGGTGGGCTCAGGGGTGTCCTGAGGGGGTCACTCACCGTGGGGGCGGGGCTCGGTGCGCGCCCACCCGACGCGTCGGCAGCGCCCCGCTCGCGGCCGCCCTCCCCGCTCGGCGGCCGCCCCAAACTAGGGAACTCCTCCCGCGAGAACCGGCCCGGGAGGGGGGCTCTGGCACCTGGGGGGCACAGGGGGTCAGCAGGGCCCCAAAACATGGGGCTCCCCACGGCCGGGGACCCCCAAACCCCCAGCGAGGGGCCCCATGGACACGGAGGGCCCCCAATGCCAGGGGGCTCTGGGGGTCAGGGGACCCTGGGGTTCAGGGGTCCCCCAAGGGGGGTCTCTCACCATCGGCGGGAGTACCGCTGGCCTGCGCCCAGGACTTTGCCGCGCTTGGCGGAGGGGGTTCTGTGGGGAGACATCGGGGGTCAGGGGGCTTTGGGGGCAGGGGTTCCCAGGGGGTCTGGGGCTCACAGGGGCAGTGCCCCCTCACCTCGGGGTCCCCGGGTCCATGTCCCCACTGGGGAGATCTGGGGGCTCTCAGGGGGGTCCCAGGGGCAGTGCCCCCCTCACCTCGGGGGTCCCTGGGGTCCATGTCCCCCCAGAGGGGAGATCTGGGGGGGTTCCCAGGGGGCTCACAGGGGCAGTGCCCCCCTCACCTCGGGGGTCCCCGGGGTCCGTGTCCCCCCAGAGGGGAGATCTGGGGGGGTTCCCAGGGGGCTCACAGGGGCAGTGCCCCCCTCACCTCGGGGGTCCCCAGGGTCCGTGTCCCCCCAGAGGGGAGATCTGGGGGGGTTCCCAGGGGGCTCACAGGGGCAGTGCCCCCCTCACCTCGGGGGTCCCCGGGGTCCGTGTCCCCCCAGAGGGGAGATCTGGGGGTTCCCAGGGGCTCACAGGGCAGTGCCCCCCTCACCTCGGGGGTCCCTGGGGTCCGTGTCCCCCCGGTGCCGCTCGCAGGCGGCTGCGAATCCGGCGGTGACGGCGACTGCGCGGGGAGGGGCGGAGGGCTCGGAACTGGGGGAAAGAAAGGGGGTGTCAGGATGGTTGAGAACAGAGGGTGCCAAGACCCCACACCCCCTCAGTCCCCCAGGACACCCCTATTCCCCCCACAACGTGTGGGGGCTGGGGTCACTCCAGCCAGCCCCTCACCCCCAGTCCTCCCCGTGCCCCCCACCTGCGGGGGTCTGGGGGTCGCTCCGACTGGCCCATCCCGAGCCGTCTCGGGGCACCAGCGCCACGTTGGGGTCGTTGCCCTTGTTCTCGGCCTTCAGGCTCGGCAGGTGCGCGGGGGGCATGCGCCGGCTGGGCACCTTGCCCAGGCTCTGCAGCCCATGGCGGGGGGCGCCTGGGGGGCACAGACCCACAGTGAGCCCCCCCAGTGCCCCCCGGGACCCCCAGAGCATCCCCAGATCCCCCCCATCCCCTGGGACCCCCACATGTCCCGTCCACTGGGGGGGCACCTTGCCCAGGCTCTGCAGCCCATGGCGGGGGGCGCCTGGGGGGGCAAAGACCCACAGTGAGCCCCCCAGACCATCCCCGGGACCCCCAGAGCATCCCCAGGTCCCCAAACCACCCCCAGACCCCAGTACATCCCATCCACTGGGGGGGCACCTTGCCCAGGTTCTGCAGCCCATGGCGGGGGGCACCTGGGGGGGCACAGACCCACAGTGAGCCCCCCGGGACCCCCAGAGCATCCCCAGATCCCCAAACCACCCCCAGACCCCACTACATCCCATCCACTAGGGGGGCACCTTGCCCAGGCTCTGCAGCCAATGGCGGGGGGGGCACAGACACAGGGTCACCCCCACAACCCCCCGAGACCCCCAAACCCCCACAGGGGGACATCACAGGTCACAACACCCCCCGAGCCCCCCCAAGACCTTCAAGGACCACCCAACCCTCCCCGAGGCCGTACCTGTGTGTCCCCCCACCTCACCTCGGGGTGCAGCGTTTCCAGTCCCCCCCCCTCACACCAAGCCCCCTTTACCCCATCCTGGTAACCCATGGGGGGGTCTGTAGCCCCCCTATCCCCCCTAGGACCCCCTCCTTTACCCCCAGCCCTGGCACTGGGGGGGTTTGAAGCCCCCAGCCCCCCGTGTGCCCCCCCGGCCCTCACCGGCGGCGCGGGGGGGCTCGAGGGGCCGCCCCCGGTAGCTCTCACTGAGGCTCAGGCAGTTGTAGCGCCGGCCCCGCGCAGCCCGATCGCTCATCGCGCCGCATCGGCCGCGGGACCTGCAGGGGGACACCGGGGGTCACCGGGGGCACCGAGGGGCACGGGGAACGGGGACTCCTCGGGTGAAGGGGGGTCTCAGATATTGACCGTGCAGGGGTCACAGCCCGCGAGACCCCCCCAATAAAGGATAGCAGGGACACCGGCGGGGGTGGGGGTCACGGAGACGCACAGGCCGCGCCCCCCTCAACGGCGGGACCCCGAGAGAACCCCGCCCCCATTAACGGGCCCCCCTCCATTAACGACCCCCGCAATTAACGGGCCCCGCCCTCCCTTCAAGCCCCTCCTCCTCCGTTACCGGCTCCCGGGGTGTTTCGGGGGTCCGAGGTGGGGGTGTGAGGGGTGTGAGGGGGGGCCGCCGTTCCAAGATGGCGGCGGTGCCGGCGCCGCCGCGGCCCGGGCTGAGGGACGGGATGGGGGTGCGGGTTCATCGGCGCCTCCCGCGGTCCCCCGCGCCCCGTACCCACCTGTCCGCCCCGGGCGGGCTCCGCTGCGGCGGCCGCGCTCTCGGGGGCCGCGGGCGGGGCGGGCGGGCGGCGGATGGCGGCGGATTCCGCTGCCCCCCCCCTCCCTCCGACACGGCCCGCGGGGCCTGCGCGCATGCGCCGCGCGCCTCGGGCCGCCCCGCGCGCTCCGGGCGGGCGGAGGGAAGGGCTGAGAGGGGGGGGAAGGAGCCGGCATCGCCAACCCCTCCCCTTGCGGTCCCCGCTCACGGGGAGCCGTTCCCCCCTCCGGCCCCCGCGCGGTGGAGCGGCCCGGCGGGGCCGGCGCCCGGCGCGGCTCCGGCGCCGCTCAGACGGCGCTCAGGCGGCGCAGGCGGCGGAGCTCCGGAACGGGGCGGGGATCGCGCTCGGTCCCCGGTGTGAGGGAGCTCCGGCAGCGCCAGGGCTTAGGGGGATCCGCGCTCGGTCCCCGGTGTGAGGGAGCTCCGGCAGCGCCAGGGCTTAGGGGGATCCGCGCTCGGTCCCCGGTGTGAGGCGGAGCTCCGGGAGCGCCAGGGCTGGTGGGATCCCCGTTCGGCCCCCGGTCTGAGGGAGCTCCGGGAGCGCCAGGGCTGGGGGGATCCCCGTTCGGCCCCCGGTGTGAGGGGGGGACCCCGGGCTGAGGCGGCGGGAGCGTTCCCGGGCCGGCCTTGGAGCCTCCCGGGCGGGCAGAGGAGTCCCCGGACGGGAGGGGCTTTAAAGCCCCTTTAAATCGCCCCAAAACGTGAACAGCGGGACAGGGGAAGCCTCGTCCGGCCCGGGCTTTGTGAGGGGTGGAGGAGACGCCTCCCTGTTGCTATTCCTGCCCCTGCTCCCGTCGTTTAAAGTTTGTTTTTGTGGGGGTCTGTAATTGGAATTAACGCCCGTTGCGTGCGGGTGAAACCCAAGCCTCGCAGTCCGCGTCCCCAAAAACCCCGGCGCTTTTCCCGCAGGGAGGGAAGCGCAGAGCTGGGGTCTTTTTGTGTATGTAGGCTTTGTGTTGTGATTCTATTTGAGTGGTCAATTCATATTTATAATTGGGTTTTTTTGTGGTTGTGCTTCAAAGTGGTTCTTTTATATTTGTAAGTTTTTTTAGTTTGGTTTTGTCTGAACACTCATTTAGTATTTATTATAAATATATTTATATTTAGGGTAAATGTGGCGGGAGGCGCTGGGGGTGCCCAGCCTGGGGGGTTTCCCTCAAGGGGTGGGAGATCCCCTCCCAACAAAACCCTCCCCGAGAGAAACCCTAAAACCCAAAACAATCCCAGAGAGACCCTAAAACCCCAGAGAGCCTTCCAGGGACAGCCACGATGAGGCTGGGGGGAAATGGGGGGGTCAGGGACACAAAAAACATCATAGAGACCCCATAGAGACCCTAAAACCCAAAATAACCCCAGAGAGCCTCCCGGGGACGGCCACGATGAGGCTGGGGGGAAACAGGGGGTCAGGGACATGAGAACCATCATAGAGACCCCATAGAGACCCTAAAAATCCAAAATAACCCCAGAGGGACCCCAAATAACCCCATAGAGACCCTAAAACCCCAGAGAGCCTCCCAGGGACGGCCACGATGAGGCTGGGGGGAAACGGGGGGGAAAGGGACATGAGAAACATCATAGAGACCCCATAGAGACCCTAAAAACCCAAAATAACCCCAGAGAAACCCTAAAACCCAAAACAATCCCAGAGAGACCCTAAAACCCCAGGGAGCCTCCCGGGGACGGCCACGATGAGGCTGGGGGGAAACGGGGGAAAGGGACATGAGAACCACCATAGAGAACCTACAGGGACCCTAAAAACCCAAAATAACCCCAGAGAGCCTCCCGGGGACGGCCACGACGACGCTGGGGGAAAACGGGGGGGAAAGGGGGGTCAGGGACATGAGAACCATCATAGAGACCCTACAGGGACCCTAAAAACCCAAAATAACCCCAGAGAGACCCTAAAAACCCAAATGACCCAATAGAGACCCTAAAACCCCAGAGAGCCTCCAGACGGCCCAGATGAGACCCTGGGGACAAAGGCACATGAGAACCATCATAGAGACCCTAAGAGACCCTAAAACCCCAGAGAGCCTCCCGGGACGGCCACGATGAGGCTGGGGGGAAAAGGGGGGGTCAGGGACAGGGGAACCATCATAGAGACCCCATAGAGACCCTAAAAACCCAAAATAACTCAATAGAGACCCTAAAACCCCAGAGAGCCTCCCAGGGACGGCCACGATGAGGCTGGGGGGAAACGGGGGGTCAGGGACATGAGAACCATCATAGAGACCCTACAGGGACCCTAAAACTCCAAATAACCCCATAGAGACCCTAAAACCCCAAATAACCCCAGAAATACCCTAAAACCCCAAATAACCCCAGAGAGCCCCAAATAACCCCATAGAGCTCCTAAATGCCACCACGACCTCCCCAGTGCCCCCTCCCCAAACTCACCCACGACGTGAGCAGCGGGTCTGTCCCCTCGGGGCACCTCGGGCAGCTCCGGGGGGGCTCCTGGGGGGCACAGGGGGGGTTGGCACAATGAGGGGGCACCTAGGGGAAGGGCAGCTATGGGGAGCCCATGAGGGGCACAGGGGTTTGGGACTCAAGAGGGACCCAAAGAGGATTTGGCCAATGGGGCCCTGGGGGTGGAATGGGAGGCACAGGGATATGGGGGGCACGTGAGGGGTCCAGAGGGGCTGGGGGGCCCAAAGGGGACAGGGGGGACCTGGGGGACCCAGGGATGGGGAGAGGGTCATTCACTCACCAAAGGCCTCCGGGTCGGCATCTCGGGGGGTCCTGGGGGGCACAGAGAGGGGTCAGAGGCGGGGGGCACAGAGGGACAAGGGGGCACAGAGGGACATGAGGGGGTGCAGAGAGCGTCCTGGGAGTCCCATAGCATGAGGGGGAGAGCATCAGAGGGGGCCGGAGGAGGGCACAGAGGACATGGGGGGCACAGACAGCCCTGGGGGGTCCATACCTGGGGGCACAGTGCAGCAGCCCGGGGGTGGGGCAGCAGCAGCAGCAGCAGCAGCAGGAGCCGCCCGGGGCGTCGCGGGGGTCGCGGCCATGGCGGGTTCTGAGCCTGCCCGGGACCCCCGGGTCGTCTATGGCCCCTCCGCCCCCGCCCGAGGCGTCACGGAGAGACAGCCCCCAAAATCCCCCAAATCCACCACCCCCCGCAGGGAAAACGCCTGAGGGGCCCCTGACACAGAGGGGACCCCAGAACTCCGGGGGAGGGGCTGGGGGTCCCGGTTTGGGGTTCAGGACAGCCCCCCCACCCCCAGCCACCTCCCCCTTCCCCGGGGTTCCCTTGGGGGTCCCCAATGAGCCCTAATTAGCGATTCCCCTAATTAATCCCCCTCCCCCGAGACCTCCTCGGTGGGAAAGAGCCCAGGGGGAGGGAAGGATGTGGGGAGGGCGGGGACCCCGGGCCACGAAGCGGAACCGCCGAAACCGCCCTGGGGGCCCAGAAACCTCTGAGGGGGAGGGGCCCCAAAACCGTCGCTTCCGCCCCTCCCCCAGACAATCTCGGAGCCCCAAAATTTCGGGTGGGGGTCGATTCCACCCCAATTCCCAACCCCCACAGATTTAACCTTGGGGGTCCAAACCCCCCGATCCCGGGGGGGTCCCAGCTGATCCCGGTTTGGGGTCCCAGCACCTGGTGCCCCCGATCCCGGTTTGGGGGTCCCAGCGCAGCCCCCTACCCGCCCGGTTTGGGGGTCTCGAGCCCCGCCCGGGGCTCCCCCATTCGTGTCCCCCTCCCAATTTGGGGTCTCGGACCCCTGGCGCGACCCACGGGGAGTTTCATCAGGGGGCTCTCAGCAGGTTCGGGGTCTCTCGGCGGAAGTGGCGTCAGGTGAGGCCGGAAAGTGCGGCGGTGAGGGCGGAAGTGCATCCCGGTTGTCACAGCGCCCCCTGGCGGCGCGGAGGACGATCCGAGCCCTTGGGAGCGGCTATGGGGGGAGCTCCGGGGGTGTTTGGGGGGTTCAGGGGTCAGGGGGTGTTTTGGGGGTCTCAGTGACATGGGCGGCTCCTCCTCCCCCTCCCGGGGGGTTCAGGGCAGGTCATGGGGGTGTTTTGGGGGGTCTCAGTGACCTGGGCGGCTCCTCCTCCCCCTCCCCGGGGGGTTCAGGGCGGGTCATGGGGGTGTTTTGGGAGGGGTCTCAGTGACCTGGGCGGCTCCTCCTCCCCCTCCTGGGGGGTCCCGGGGGGGCATTTTTTGGCTTTCTGGGGGTCCCGCGACCCCTCCCGGAAGTCGTGCGGAACCACGTGACGCGCCCGCGGGCGCTGATTGGCTGGCTCAGAAGGAGGGCAGAAGGTCCGGGCGGAAGCTTCAAACGCTGCGGGAGCTGATTGGTTAACCCTGAGGGAGGGCGGGGTTTATTTCGCGATGTGAGCGATGATTGGTCGAGTGTCGAGAGGAGGGCGGTGCTTTGTGGCAGCATCAGAGCGTGGACTGGTCAGCTCGAGCGATGGGCGGGGTTTTGGTTACGGAACGAGCGTCGATTGGTGGGCTCCGCTGTGGGGCGGGGCTTGGGGCGGAAGCGGCTGCTGCGCGTGCGCGGATCGAGCCCGGAGCGCCCCGCGAGCGGCGGGTGGGGAGGGGGATTTTGGGGGGTCAGGGGGTTTGGAGGGTCTTTGAGGGCTCTCAGGGGTCCCAGGGGAGGCCTTTGGGGTCCTTCAGCCCCGCGGGAGGGCGGCAGCGCAGGGCCGCTGCTGGGAGTGGGGGAGGGGGCGGAAGGGGAGGGGGTCTAAAGGGGTTTTTTGGGAGAGGGCCATGAACCCTCCCCCACAGCCCCAGGACCATGAGCAGCTCCGAGGAGGTTTCGTGGATCTCGTGGTTTTGCAGGCCTCCGCGGCAACGAATTCTTCTGCGAGGTGGGGGATGGGGGGCTGCGACCCCTCCGGGACCCTCGGGATCCCCAGATCTCCCTCAGACCCCCAGGGATCCCCCAGATCCTCCTGGACCTCCAGCCCCCAGGGATCCCCAGCCCCCTCAGAGACCCCACAGACCCCCCAGAACCTCCAGACCCCTCCCCAGAAACCCCTGACCCCCAGGGACCCCTGACCCCAGGGACCTCAGACCCCCAAACTTTCATTCTCCTTCCCTGAAGGGCCTTTGAGCCCCATGGAGGGATTTGGGGGAGGAACCTGAGCCCCCTCTGGGTTCCCTGAGACCCCAGCCCCCTATGACCCCCAGCCCCAGTGGCCCCCCGTGACCCCTTGCCCTAGTGACCCCCTGTGCCCCAGGTGGACGAGGATTACATCAGGACAAGTTCAACCTGACGGGGCTCAGCGAGCAGGTCCCTCATTACAGACAGGCCCTGGACATGATCCTGGACCTGGAGCCAGGCTACGGCCTGGGGAAAAACCCACCCTGTGAACCCCCTGAACCCCCAAGCTCCCTGAGCCCCCTGAACCCCCAAACCCCCTGAACCCCAAACCTACGGGCCCTGGACATGATCCTGGACCTGGAGCCAGGTACGGCCTGGGGGTGGGTTTGGGGGTCCTCAAGTGAGTTTGGGGGTCCCCTGGAGGAATTCCTGGCCCTGGGGGTCCAAGCCAACCTTTGCCTCCTCCCCAGATGAAGAGCTGGAGGGACAAGCCCAGCAGGGCCGTGGGGGGCTGTGGGGGGCTGTGGGGGTCTCTGAGGGGATGAGGGGGTCCAACCCAGCCTTGCCCCCCAGACGAGGAGCTGGAGGACAACCCCAACCAGAGCGACCTCATCGAGCAGGCGGCAGAGATGCTGTACGGGCTGATCCACGCGCGCTACATCCTCACCAACCGCGGTATCGCTCAGATGGTGAGACCCCTGAGACCCCTGAACCCCTGAGCCCCCTGAGACCCCTGAGACCCTGACCCCTGATCCATCCAGAGACCCTAGACATCCCTGAGTCCCCTAGAACCCCCATCCCGCTTACATCCTCACCAACCGCGGCATCGCTCAGATGGTGAGACCTCTGAGACCCCTGAACCCCCAGAGACCCCTGAGACCCACCCTAAATCCCCAGAGACCCTGAGACCCCTGAGCCCCCTGATCCATCCAGAGACCCCATCCCGCTACATCCTCACCAACCGCGGCATTGCTCAAATGGTGGGAACCCTGAGACCCCTGAACCCCCCAGAGACCCCCTGAACCTTCCTGACCATCCCCTGAGACCCCTGAACCCCCAGAGACCCCTGAACCCCCCCTGAACCCCCTGATCCATCCAGAGACCCCAACCCGCTACATCCTCACCAACCGTGGCATTGCCCAGATGGTGGGACCCTGAACCCCAGAGACCCCTGAGCCCCCTGAGACCCCCAGAGACCCCTGAACCCCTCCCTAGACCCTCCCTGAGCCCCCAGCCCAGGACACCCCCTGAGCCCCCTTGTCCTCCCCAGTTGGAGAAATACCAGCAGGGGACTTCGGATACTGCCCCCGGGTCTACTGTGAGAACCAACCCATGCTGCCCATCGGTACGGGGGGCTGGGGGGCTGCAGGGGGCTTTGGGGGCTTTGGGGGTCATTGGGGAGATCTCAGGGGCTGTTTGAGGGTTACTGTGAGAACCAGCCCATGCTGCCCATCGGTGCGGGGGGCTGGGGGGCTGCAGGGGGTCATTGGGGGGCTTTGGGGGCTTTGGGAAGGATTGGGGGATTTGGAGGGGCTTTGGAGGTCATTGGGGGCTTGGGGGAGCTTTGGGGAGGTCATTGGGGGATGCCCCGGGGTGGGATCATTGACCCTTTGAGTGCCCCAGGGTGGGGTTTGGGACCCTCTGGGTACCCCAGGGTGGGGTGTGGGACCCTCTGGGTGCCCCAGGGTGGGATCTGGGACCCTTTGAGTGCCCCAGGGTGGGGTTTGGGACCCTCTGGGTGCCCCAGGGTGGGATCTGGGACCCTTTGAGTGCCCCAGGGTGGGGTTTGGGACCCTCTGGGTACCCCAGGGTTGGGTTTGGGACCCTCTGGGTGCCCTGTGCTGGGATTTTGGCACTCTCTGTGCCCTCCCCCGTCCCTGGGGGGTGTCCCCTGACCCCGTGCCCCCCAGGGCTGTCGGACATCCCCGGGGAGGCGATGGTGAAGCTCTACTGCCCCAAGTGCATGGACGTTTACACGCCCAAGTCGTCGCGGCACCACCACACCGACGGCGCCTACTTCGGCACCGGCTTCCCCCACATGCTGTTCATGGTGCACCCCGAGTACCGCCCCAAGCGCCCCGCCAACCAGTTCGTGCCCAGGTCAGTGCCCCCAAAACCCCCTGCGAATCGGCCCAAAAACGCCTGAAAATCCCAAAAAAAATCCCCGGGAAAATCGGGCCAAAATTGGCTGAAATTCAAAAAAAAAATCCCGGTGGAAATCGTCCCAGAATTGCCTGAAACACAAAAAAATCGCTGTGAAAATCAGCCTGAAATTGCCTGAAAATCAAAAAAAAAAACCCAATGAAAATTGTCCCCAAAATGGATTGAAAACCCAAAACTAAATCCCTGTGAAAATCAGCCCAAAATTGCCTGAAAATGCAAAAAAAATCCCTGTGAAAATCGGCCCCAAAGTGACTGAAAATGGCCCTAAAAGGCCTGCTAAAATCAACCAGAAAACCCCACTGAAATAGCTAAAAAGAGCCACACTAAAATAATTAAAAGAAGTGCATTAAAATCACCCAAAAAACTGCACTAAAACCACTCAAAGAACTGCTCTGAAATCACCCAAAAAAACTCACTATAATAGCCCAAAGAAAACCTGCTAAAATCGCCCCAAAAGCCCTCACTGAAATCATCCAAAAAAACCCCAGTAAAGTCACCCCAGAACTGCCTGAAAACACCCCCAAAGCTCCTTTCTAAAATCATCTGAAGAAACCCATTAAAGTTATCCAGAAAACACCGTTAAAATCAACTCAAAACTGCCTGAAACCCCCACAAGAAAACCCCGCTAAAATCAATCCAAAAGCCCCACTAAAATCATTCCAAGAAAACCCAGTAAAGTCACCCCAAAAGTGCCTCAACCCCCCACAAAAAAACCCCAGTAAAGTCACCCCAAAACTGGCTGAAAACACCACCGAAAAACCCCCTCGAAATCACCCCAGAACCTCCTGAAGGTTCTTTCTGTCCTCCCGATGGTTTTTGCTCCTCCTGAGGCTGTTTTTGCCCCCCTGAGGGTGTTTTTGCCCCCCCAGAGTCCCAGTTTTTGCCCCCCCAATGGTGTTTTTGCCCCCCAAAGTCCATTTTTGCCCCCCAAAGTCCATTTTTTTCCCCCCATGGTGCTTTTCCCCGCAGGCTGTACGGGTTCAAGATCCACCCCATGGCGTACCAGCTGCAGCTCCAGGCCGCCAGCAACTTCAAGAGCCCCGTCAAGACCATCCGCTGAGGGGGCCTGGGGACCCCTGACCCCCAGGACCCCCGACCCCCTGACCCCCCGACCCCTCCCCCACCGGTGCTGCACGACCCTCGCTGGGACCCCCAATAAGCGGATTGGGGAGGAGCGGGGCGTCTCGAGGCAGTTTTAGGGGGATTTGGAGGGATTTGGGAGGGATTTGGGAACCGTTTGGGGGGGATTTGGGGTGTTTCAGAGGGAATTTGGGGAGTTCTTGGAGCTGGTTTGGGGCATTCCATGGGGAATTGGGAGCATCTTGGGGCTGGTTTGGAGCATCTCGGGGGGAATTCGGTGCCAGTTTGGGGTCGCTTTGGGGACATCAGGGCTGGTTTGGGAGGGAATTTGGGCGATCCTGGGGCTTTGGGGTGGGTGGTAGAGGAACACTGGAGCAGTTTAGGGCTCATTTGGAGGCACTTGGGGTGGTCTGGGGATGGTTTTGGTCAGTTTGGGATGGTCGGGAGGGGGATTTGGGCAGTTTGGGGCCTTTGGGCTGGTTTTTGGGCTTTAGGGGGGGGCCATTTTTGGGGCGATTCAAGCTGATTTCGGGCCAATGCCGGTTCATTTTGGGACAACTTGAGCTGTTTGGGGACAATCTTGGCCCGCGCCCGTTTCCAAGGCAAGGCGGCCATATTGCCCTGTTCCCATGGCAACGCCGCCATATTGTCCAGCCCTCGTTCCCATGGCAACGCCGCCATATTGCCCCGCTCCCATGGCAACGCCGCCATCTTGCCCCGCCCCGTTCCCATGGCAACGCCGCCATATTGTCCCGCCCCCGTTCCTATGGCAACGCCGTCGTCTTGCCCCGCCTCGTTTCCATGGCAACGCCGCCATGTTACCCCGCCCCCCGTTCTCATAGCAACGCCGCCATATTGCCCCGGCCCGTTCCCATGGCAACGCCGCCCTAATCCCGTTCCCATGGCAACCCCCCTTTGCCCCACCCCGTTCCCATGGTAACGCCGTCATCTTGTCCCCCGTTGCCGTGGTAACCACTCCTCCTTTTCTCCCTCTCGTTGCCATGGCAACGGGCAGTGGGCGCGGCTCTCCCCGCCAATCGCTGCTCTTTCTGCGTTACGCCCCGCCCCGGACGTGACGTTGGCGGAAGCGGCGGCGCTTCCGGCGCGGCGGCGATGGCGAAGCTGCTGAGCTGCGTGCTGGGCCCGCGGCTCTACCGGGTCCATCGGCCCCGCGCGCCCGCCAGGGCCGGGGGGGACCCGGGGGGGCCGCAGGGGGCCGGGGCAGCCCCCGGGGACCCGGCCTGGGTGAGCCCCGGGGGGGGCAGGTGGGGCGCGGGGAGAGGGCGGGGGGGTTGTCATGGCAACCGGGGGGATGGGGGGGTGTGCGACCCCCGCCGTGACCGACCCCCCGATTCCCCCCCCCTCAGGACTCGTACTACCAACCGCGGGGGCTGGAGAAGCACACGGACAGCGTCCTGGCGCTGGTGAGACCCCCAGGGACCCCCCAATGACCCCCTAGGGGACCCTCCCGGGACCCCTCCGGGACCCCTCCGGGAGCCCCCCGTTCTGAGGGGTCTGGGGGTCCCGCAGGCCTCGGTGCTCTGGTCCATCTCGTACTACGCGTCCCCCCTGGCCGTCTTCTACCTCTACCGGAAAGGTGGGCTCGGGACTGGGGGGAACTGGGGGGCTTTGGGGGCTGGGTGTGCTTTGGGGGGCTGGGGGCTTTGGGGGCTCTGGGGGTGTTTTGGGGGTCCATGGGATGCTCTGGGGGTTTCTGCTTCCGGGTTGGGGGCGAACGGGGCTGCTTGGGGGGCACTGGGGCAGCTCTGACAATTCCCAGGGTGGTCTGGGGAGGCTCGGTATTTTTGGGGTCCCTGGGTCTGTTTTGGGGTCTCTGCCTGTGCTTTGGGGTCCCTGGCTGTGTTTTTGGGGTCCCTGACCCCCTTTTGTCCCCCCAGGTCTGCTGACCATGTCCTGGGTGGTTGGGGGGGATCAGGGGGTCCCTGGGTGTATTTTTGGGATCTCTGGGTGTGTTTTGGGGAGCTCTGGGTGTGTTTTGGGATCTCTGGGTGTATTTTGGGGATCTGTGGGTGTGTTTTGGGATCCCTGTCTGTGTTTTTGGGGTCCCTGACCCTCCTTTTTCCCCCCAGGTCTCCTGAGCATGTCCCGGGTGGTTGGGGGGGATCAGGGGGTCCCTGGGTGTATTTTTGGGATCTGTGTGTGTGTTTTTGGGGTCCCTGACCCCCCCTTTTTCCCCCCAGGTCTGCTGACCATGTCCCGGGTGGTGCCCCTGTCCCACTGTGCGGCCACGCTGGGGCTGCTGCTGGCGGGGGTCGCCTGTCTGCGAGGTGAGGGGGGGCTTGGGGGCGCCTGGGACCCCCCGGGGACCCCCCCGGGACCCCCCTGAGCCCCCCAAAACCCCCCCATCCCCCAGGGCTGGGCCGCTGGAGCAACCCCCAATACCTGGAGTTCATCGCGGCCCTCGAGGAGAGCCACAGGACGGGCACCCCCGAGGCCAAGGTGGGGCTGGCACCCCAAAAATGGGGCTGGGACCCCAAAAATGGGGCTGGGACCCCCAAAAAGGGGTCTCAGGGCCCCCTCCCGAGGATTCTGGGGGGGTCTCAGCCCGCTTTCCGTGTCCCCCCAGCGCAAACTGGGCCTCTACACCTTCGACTTCCGCAGCTGGCCCGTGGATTTCCGCTGGGACAGCGCCGGCCCCGCCTGGTCAGAGCCCCAAAATCCCCCTGGGACCACCCTGGGAACCCCCTGGGACCCCCCAAACCCAGCAGGGACCCTCCCAGCGACCCAAAACACTCCTGGGACCACCCTGAGACCCCTCCCAGCACCCCAAAAACCCCCTGGGAACCCCCTGGGAACCCCCTGGGACCCCCCAAACCCAGCAAGGACCCTCCCAGCACCCCAAAACCCCCCTGGGACCACCCTGGGACCACCCTGGGAACCCCCAAACCCAGCAGGGACCTTCCCAGCACCCCAAAACACCCCTGGGACCACCCTGAGACCCCTCCCAGCACCCCAAAACACCCCTGGGACCACCCTGAGACCCCTCCCAGCACCCCAAAACACCCCTGGGACCCACAGAGACCCCTCCCAGCACCCCAAAACCCCACTGGGACCACCCTGGGAACCCCCTGGGAGCCCCCAAACCCAGCAGGGACCTTCCCAGCACCCCAAAACACCCCTGGGAACCCCCTGGGAACCCCCTGGGACCCCCCAAACCCAGCAGGGACCCTCCCAGCACCCCAAAACACCCCTGGGACCACCACCCTGAGACCCCTCCCAGCCCCCCAAACCTCTCCTGGGACCCCCCAAACCTTTCCTGGGACTCCCCAGACACCCCCCCAACACACAGGGACCTCCCAATGCCCCAAACCCCCTGGGACCCCCAGAGACACCCCCAGCCCAGCAGGTTCCCTCCCAACGCCCCAAACCTCTCCTGGGACCCCTAAACCCCGTGTGACCCCCAGCCCCTCCTGGGACCCCCAACCCCGTGCTGACCCCCCGTCCCCTCGCAGAGGGTTCCCGGCGGTGCCGCTGCTCAAAGTGCCCCCCCGGCCCGGGGGTCCCGAGGGCTCCTCGGGGCCCTCCGGAAGCTGCCCTGCGCCATCGCCAGGTGGGCGAGGGCCAATCAATGGGGCGGGGCTAATGAGCTGGGTGGGGCTAATTGGTGGGGGTAATTAATTGGGTGGGGCTAATAAACTGGGTGGGGCTAATAAATTGGGTGGGGCTAATTGGGTGGGGGTAATTAATTGGGTGGGGCTAATAAACTGGGTGGGGCTAATAGAATTGGGTGGGGGTAATTAATTGGGTGGGGTAATAGACTGGGTAGACCTAATAAAATGGGCAGGGCTAATGGAGTGGGGCAGGGGTAATAAATTGGGTGGGGATAATAGAACAGGGTGGGGCTAATTGGGTGGGGCTAATAGAATGGGGTGGGGCTAATTGAATGGGAGGAGCTAATAAATTGGGTGGGGCTAATAGAATGGGGTGGGGCTATTAGATTGGGGTGGGGCTAATCAAGTGGGTGGGGCAGAGAATGGGTGGCTAACAGAACAGGGTGGGGCTAATTGGGGTGGAGCTAATGAGATGGGGTGGGGCTCGGGGAAGGGGTTGGGCTCTGCCACTGCTGGGTGGGTGTGGCTCGGGATGGGGGCGGGGCTAAAGGGCGGGCAGGGGCTAAAGGGGAGGGCAGGGCTAAAGGGGCTGGGTGGTGCTTAAGGTGGAGGGGAAGGGCTAAGTGGGAGGGCGGGGCTTTGGGCGTGCACAGTTTTTGGGGGAGGGGGGTGGTCCTACCCATCGGGGTGGGCGTGGCCGCTGGCGGTGTGACCCCGCCCCCCGGTGGGCGTGTCCCTGCCCGGCCCCGCCCCCAGGCTGGTGCTGGCGCACACGCTGGGCCGGCGGATGCTGTTCCCGGGCTCGGTGCGGCTGCTGCAGCGAGCGCTGCTGCCCAACCTGCTGCAGGGGCAGGCCCGGCTCGTGGAGCAGGTCAGACCCCTCCCCAGATAAACCTGAGCCCCCCTGAGACCCCTGAACACACCCCTGAACCCACAGAACCCACCCCTGAACCCACAACCCAACTCCCCAACCCAACCTGCTGCAGGGGCAGGCACCGGCTCATGGAGCAGGTCAGACCCCTCCCAGATAAACCTGGCACCCCTTGAGACCCC